TCTTGTCGTGCTCTCGCCCGTCTTTTTTTGGCGAGAGGTGGAGGGCACCGCCTACAACAGCTAAGCTAATCTAACCAATCAAAAGAGATGCTTTGAATCACGTAAGCCAATCAGAAATCGAAGCAAATATATAAACGGGCGCCATTCGCGGGAAAGTAAGCGCGGGAAATCTATTTTGTCGGAATTAGACGAGGGATTTTAATTAGCAAGGAATCAAAGTGTAGAAGTACCGAGCTGCAGATGCAGAACAAACGAACTAAAGACACTCAACTGAAAAAACGTTCTTAATTTGAGGATGAAATACGACGACTGAAATAAAAATTTATTCAGCGGTTTCAGTAACTGGAAGCCACAAAGCCAGCAACACTGCAACCCTAAGGCAGCAACTTTCCACTAATAGGTTGATCGACTCTACAGACATTAACTGACTTCATAGCTATGGTTGGCGTGAAAAGGAGTGTGAGGATAATTGCCAAAAAGTCAATAATAGGTAAATGTAAAAGAAACTACCACAAAACGTGCGAAACAAGAATCTAACATAGGGGAAACAATTTTGAGACCGCTAGGCTAAAAGGTACAAAGCTTCTCACCGGTTTTTCCTCTTCTTTCTTTTTCGTCAATGAGCCAAACGTTGCTTCTACATCGTCATGACCGTCATCACCAAACAACCTGAAAACATACAGAAAATTAACTGAAAACTAACCCTTTGCAAATGCTCTCTACAAACCTGAAAAGAGACGGGGATTTAACGTTGAATTACCCCTGGTAAATAATCTTATCAACCTGAACAGACAGGGAATTAATTTAGAACTAAACCCTTGCAAATGATCTCCTCAACGTGAAGAGACAGGGAATTGACTTAGAATTAACCCCTCGCAAATGATCTCCTCAACCTGAAGAGACAGGGAATTAACTTAGAATTAACCCCTTGCAAATGATCTCCTCAACCTGAAGAGACAGGGAATTAACTTAGAATTAACCCCTCGCAAATGATCTCCTCAACCTGAAGAGACAGGGAATTAACTTAGAATTAACCCCTTGCAAATGATCTCCTCAACCTGAAGAGACAGGGAATTAACTTAGAATTAACCCCTTGCAAATGATCTCCTCAACCTGAAGAGACAGGGAATTAACTTAGAATTAACCCCTTGCAAATGATCTCCTCAACCTGAAGAGACAGGGAATTAACTTAGAATTAACCCCTGGCAAATGATCTCCTCAACCTGAAGAGACAGGGAATTAACTTAGAATTAACCCCTTGCAAATGATCTCCTCAACCTGAAGAGACAGGGAATTAACTTAGAATTAACCCCTTGCAAATGATCTCCTCAACCTGAAGAGACAGGGAATTAACTTAGAATTAACCCCTTGCAAATGATCTCCTCAACCTGAAGAGACAGGGAATTAACTTAGAATTAACCCCTTGCAAATGATCTCCTCAACCTGAAGAGACAGGGAATTAACTTAGAATTAACCCCTGGCAAATGATCTCCTGAACCTGAAGAGACAGGGAATTAACTTAGAATTAACCCCTGGCAAATGATAAGGCCTGCGAATTTGTTTGGGTTTACACATTTCCTGAAGCATTTCTACGACAGAAAGGCCTCATGCAGGAAGCTTATCAGAAGGGAAGGCGCCTTGACGCCCAGCAAAGACAGCACAGGAATAAGTGAGTGAGTGAGTAATGAGAACGGAGCAAGCCCTTGAGTTCCAAATTTCACCGTGGACACAGTTCAATTGACCCGCCATCCCCCCTTGGGGTTATTCTACTCTCACACCCCTCGGGTTACGGTGAACCCCTCGAGCCATAAGAATGCCCCGTTAATACTACAGAATTTTTTTTCTGCTACGAACAAAAAGTCAGGTCATTTTCGTTTGGAGAAGCTACAAGTTACTTTCTTCACACATAGACCTCTAAATTCCACCAGCTGAAATATGCGATCATTTTACAGGAAAACAATATCAGAATAAACTGAAGAAAGCTACAGTGCAAAATACTCACGATTTCAATTTGTCTTCACTAATGCCTTGATTCTTGTCTTCTTGGACTTCTGAAATAAAAGTTTAAAAACGTGATTGGTTTGTAAACTTTTATTTAAGGCGGGGAATGACCTGAAGTGTTTCTATACCCTAATAAGATTTTCACTCCCCTGTTCATTCAAGCTTTTCATTACCGCAAAGACTGATCCAACTTCTAAACGCTGCAAACCTATTTACCTTGGCTTCCCTGTTCTTTCGTCACTTGCTCTTCCTTTTCTTCAGCTACTTTGTTTTTTTCCTCTTCTTCTGAAATCGCAGACGAACATATCTCCTTACTTTCGTCTGGCACTGGTTGTGCAGGGATTTCAGGGCTAGTTTTATCTACTTCAGTTGTAGAGGACTCCTTATCTGGTTCAGCAGAAAGTTCCTCGAGAGAAGGTACATCTACAAGATTCCCTGGCAAAAATTCATCCTCGGAAACATTGTCTGTATTATCAGTGTTTTGTATTTGTGGTATTTCCTCATTTGATTCATCAACCGCTAGATCAGCGTCTACTGGCTTGGTTTCTTGTTTTATCTCTTCTTCAAGTTCTTTTTCCTCTGCTTCATCCACTTTCGGTGCACTTGAGTCTTCTTCGTCGTTGTTTTCTCCACCATCTTCTTCCTCAGTGCCTTCAATTTGTGTTTTATCATTAACTACTTCGCCCACATTGTTACTTTCTTTTTCATCGTCCTCTTCTTCGTCGTCGATTTCATCCACGCCTTGTTTGACAGCTGGATATTTCTCCGTTACTTCCACTTTGTCTTCATCTTCTCCTTCGCTATGGTTCTTCCTTTCGCTTCCTAGTTTCTCATCCTCTTTATACTCCTTCTCTCCCTCCTCCTTCCCTCCTCCTCCTCCTCCTCTTCTTCTTCTTCCTCTTCTTCTTCTTCGCTCTCTTCTTTCTGCGCAGTTTCTCCACTCATAAGTTTTATGGTTACCTCCTGCATAATGCAAACATCAAACAGCATTATGAGTGCGATTTCCGTTAAAAACAATAATCAAGAATCTGTATAAAATCAAGCAACTTACAATAAATAATAAACACTTAATCCAGGGGAAACAGTTAATTTTGCTTTTCGAGTATTTCATTAACAATTTGAAGAAGTTTTCAGAGAGACCAGCCATTAAGTGATTTGTTTTATAACCCAAGAGGGGTGACTTCCACGCGTTCAAATTTATGAAAGTTCATCTCAGCGCGCGGTCAACATTCGCGTCGGGAGCTTGAGTAACGATGACGAAGACGACGACGGCGTAAAACTGCCTAATTTCGGGTTTTGTGGAGGACGTAAGGACAAGACAACGACTATTTTTTCTTTTCCTCGACTTCGATACAGTCTTTTAGAATTCATGTCCAGTAAAAATTGTCAACATTTGACGAACTGAACGAGATGGAATAAGCGCGATAAAGTTGGAAGCAGGCCGAATTCACTTTTTAAGTAACGTTTTCGTAGCCGTCGCTGTCATCGCTGCTTAAGCTCACTGTTTCAGATTTTGCCCGCTCAGAGACTATTGGCGGGAAAATGTTTTATCGTTCGATTTCATGTGACCATGAAGTAACCAATGATAACGCACGCTTTTCGGGTAACATTTCAGCTGTACAACAATGAGAGATGGTCAGTGAATAAATTAGGAGGAAGTTATCTTTGTAACATCACAAGCTAGAAAAAAGAAAGTCCGCTGACGGGATTATCGAAACAAAAGCATTTCAAAATATCGCTGGGGCTGGTGAACTGGCAGCACGCTGAGGGACCAAGCCACTTTACTCATTTTGCCCTTTCACAGTGCTTTAATCTGACCATAAAACATCCCGCTCAATAAGAACGAAAAGAAATGATCTTCACTGATAAATGATCTTGGTGAATTACCATGACCAAAACCACGAAATAACTTTTCTTATGGCTTGCGAGCAAGTTCTTGATTCGAGGGATGTGGGCGGGAGTTTTATCCCCAGCCCAGTCCCCAAAAATCAAGGGCTTAACATATACAATTGAAGTCTTCAGTCTCCAGGTCAGATAAACTTGTTATCAAACTAAAGAAATGCAAGCTAGTAGCATACCTTGATAGTTTTCAGTACAACTGCCATTATATCCGAGCCCGTGTAACTTTCATCTGCCTCAAATTCGTTCCTTAGCATGTAGAACACTGTATTCATTATACGCTTCACCTGAGGAATTAACACAATCGTTAATCTTTCGCACTAGAAATCCCCAAACAATGTTCTGTTAGCTTTAGATCCCATCGGCCTAAAACCCCTTGGACATCTTATGAAGTTCACCCGACGTAGTATTCCTTATCGCCTCCACTCTAAGTCTATACATCTATAATACAAGGGAAACCGAACCGATAAGGAAAATCCTACGTTGTGTAAACTTCATAAGGCATCCAAGGGGTTTCAGGCAGATGGGATCTACCGCTAACCGAATCTTTTAACCACTTGTGAGTTTTTCAAACTTGTACAACAACACTGCGTGGCACAACTCAGCCTCTCACGACCCCGAGTTTTCCAGTAAGCAAACGCGAAGGCGATGCTAGCAGGTAAGTTAGACAAAAAGTTTCAATTTTCTTGCTGTTCTTCTGTTCACAAGCGAGCTTTCCTGACAAACGAGACGGCGCAATGTTCTCTCAAAGAACACCAAATTATCGTCACAAATTCATTGCTTGGAATATATCTCCACGTAAGATAAGAAAAATTACAGCCACTCTAAAGTTATTAAAAAGAGCTTGAGTCTTTATCAAACGATGTTCTACTTGACGTCACTATCGTGGTTCCTTAAAGGGACTATGTCTTACGAGTGTTTTCTTTTTAAAAAGCTAACAAATGTCTTCGAATCAACTGAATTCCAAAAATAATGACCCGGTTTTGTTATATAAGACTATATTTAGAGATTGAAACGGTTTCCTGTCGTCTTTAGGCCAGGGATGATAAGAATGGAAATGGATTAAAACTTGAAAAAGTTGGTGTTAATGTTATGCCTGCAAAGATCACCAGAAACATTATTATGCTTAGTGCTCCTTGATGAAATTTGTATCATATCTTCTTCATAACTCTACCGGCGCATTTTATGTATGGGTAAGGACACAAAGTAATGACTTCACAACAGAATTGACATAAAACAGCAATATACCTTCAAACTGAGAACTGTCCAAAGAAAAACCACTTGGGACTCCCTCGCATGGATTTGACCGCACTTGGTACCGGTAACGTTGACTGGTGAGAGTTTTTAATTGGTTTAAGGTGGCTGAACACAGTTTTGGCAGTTTGTGAGTCTATGTCATTTGCCAAATCATGGCAAGAGAAAGGTTGCAGCTCACAAGCTGAAACTTGGCAGGTGGAAAATATACTAATGAAAGATTTTGATTGACAGGTAAAATTTGACGTTTTCGTAGTTTCCATGGCAACATGAACGATTGAATACAACCTTAAAATTTCACTTTTGTTCAGTTTACATAAAATCCGCTCATTAGATTTTCCTATAATCTTGCACACAGCTTACTGTAACTAATCATTACCATTTGAAACTTATTTGATCAAATTTTAACAGACGAACTTTTAGATAATCAATAATATAATTGCATCGTAATTATTAAATGTGTCACGAAATTCGTCTGTTCAACCTCCATTTTAAAGATTTCATTATCGAAAATACGATAAAAGTAAAAATTCTGCCAAATATCACAAAATTTTAATGAGTAGATTTTGAGAAATCGTCTTCTGTGTACCATTGCTTTTTCGCCGCCATGTTTGTTTGTCTAATTAAAAACACGCGCGGTCACGCGAGTTACCGCTGACTGCCCGCAAAACTGTGTTCAGCCACCTTAAGGGACTGTTTTTGAGCGCTATGATCGAGCAAAACGTTTTCTGGTCGCCAGTTGAAAATATGTCTAAAAAGTGAAACCTGGACACGCTCTCTATTAAAGAGCCCCTTTTAAGACTTGCCTGAAATTTCTGATACGTAGAATATTTAAAGAGCGTTTCTTTTAGCGCTAGTTTACACAAAAGGCGCAGGGATGAGCGCAAGCACATGTGCAGGCGAACAGAAATTGGATGATAATTAGTGCGTTTGGCTACGACAATATCCCAGACAGAGCCTTTGGACAGTCTCTGTTGAGGGAGATAAGGTGAGGAGAAGGTGACAAAGCGCAAGCTATCCCAAAGAGGCATTCATGAAATATCTACGTCTGCTTCTGTTGTAAGTGCAGTCTAGTCCAAAAGTAAACAAACCCCAGACTTACTTCATCAGTCACGTTGACAGGGGCTTGTTGCTTATCGCCGCCCGCCTGTTCTTTCCCTTCCTTCAAACCTTTAGCGTAAGATTCTGACAGAGCGGATTCGCGCTCCTAAGGGAAAAAATGTAAAACGTCGAGCACAGCAAATTAAATTTTCCCTACGTACCATGAAACACCAATTGAAATACTCAGAGTAAGGTTACAACAAAATGTAGGGATTGCGTGGGTGAAAAAAAAACTAACGCAGATGCAGCAAAAACAAACCAACTAAGCAGTAAAAATTCATACGCAAGTTATTTGAAAAACCGACCTCCTTGCTTTCTCTTCTCTACGAATTCTGATCACACACAGTTCATGGATTTCAAATAGTCTCAACTTAGTGTTACTTGAAATAATTGCATCCACAGTCAAAGTTAGGGCCTGTTTACAGGGAGGTGGGGGGCCCCATGTAGGTGAGGTAACCCACTTAGGTGGGGTATCCCGTCTGTACATATAATCTCCCATTTTAATTTGATCCAATTTACATGATAGGTGGGGTAACCCGTCGCATGCTACCTAACCTATCTGGGGTCCCCCAGCTCCATGTAAACAGGCCCTTAGGATCTTTTTAGCAAGATGTTTCATCAATTTAGGTTTAGGGGAAACTGCCCACCTACCCCTCCACCGAGCCAACATTAACACTTACTTCCCACTTGGGGCAAAACGTTGGCTTAGGGGAGGAGTAGGTGGGCAGTTTCCCTGAAACCTAAATTGATTCGATCTTTTTCCAGTTATTGGTCCAAAAACAAAGGAAACGCCGGATTTTTGTCACAGTACCTCCTCAGCTGATGCAAGTTGTTCCTCATATTGTTCTTTCATTTTCAGTGTTCTGGAGCGCACATCTTGATACTGTTGATATCAAACAGAAGACAATGGAGAACCTAAGTTACATGTGGGTCCAATCAAAAATAAAGCAGTTACTTTGGCCAATCCATGAATCAATCACAAGTCAAAGAAAAAAATCTTGCTGGCCCCTTCTTCACAACAGAAGAAGGAGTGTAAACCAAAATCAATCATGTTTCTGCAAATTAATCTACAAGCGCACGCTAGTTGTTTTTACTCATTTCAAAATGTTTCCAACGTCGTGCTTATAGCTTTGCTCCCGCCTTTAAAAAAATTTACATCTTCCTCATCAGTTTCAGTGTATGAAGAAATGTTTGTTCTAGCGGAAATTCACTGTATGGGGGTTGTCATCCGTCGAGTGGTATTTTTGTCACTCCTTGCCATGTTTTTGAAGCAGTAAAGCGGTTATTTCCAATTCGTCTTCTCAAAGAGTCTGAAATCTTCCGCTATTTTTTCCAACTCTGCACTGCCAAAAACCGATGAGCCACCGCGTCGTCTGTCCCTTTTTCTATCAATATCAGTACACTTGACGTCAATTATGTTGATATCAGCAGATATCACTTACATTTGGTCACCACTAGCTGATTATGAAGAATTAGCCACAGGGATTTACGTCGATCATAAACTGAGGAATACTTTGAATGAATAATAAAAGCCAGAAAGTTCGCGTTGTTTAATAGGTGAGAAAAAAAATAATATTCTAACCTTAGCCTGAAGTGCATCTAGCTCCCGTTTTGAGGATTTTAGTTCTTCCAACTCAGTATCTTTATTACCTTGCAAAGATTGTAGCTGTGTATACTGTTGAACAAAAACAAAGCAAGATAAAAACTGAATGCTTTGAACCCAGGAGTCATCTCATAAGTAGGTGGAATATGATCGTCCGGGAGAGTGTAGTCCAGTTAAAGATGACTACCGCACACATTGTCGAAACGCCAGTCACTGTCAACAACAGTTCTATTCAGGACAACACTCACCGGAATAATCATATTCCACCTACTTATGAAGACAAAAAATATTGCCTCATGATAATATGACCCTCATGGTATCATTGTTTTGTTGTATCCCTTGGAAGACCATGTTCTCTTTCTAATATCCCGTAAGCACCACTTCGAAATGAAGTTCCACTCCCCGATGTAGTTTAAGCCCCGCCTATTAACTGCTGGTGTTTCGCCAAAAAAAACTAACCTTTTCTTGTATTCCTTCAAGATCTTCTATTTTTTCTTGGAGGTCTTTAATCTTTTCATCTTTGGCGTCTTCACTCGCCTTTGCTGTAGAATACTATCGCGGAAGTAAGAAGGAATTACAGATCAAGGGATGTCGATTTCAAAATAGTTTAGTTTAGTTAGATCAACAGGTTGGGTACCAGACTTTGAAGCGGTAGGCCCGGATTCGATTTCCGGCCGGACCAACGCTCAGGGTGTTGAAATAAGTGGGAAGAATGTGCTGTCTTCGCGCTGACATCTGCAAATGCTGGTTAGACATTTTAGTCTTCTCGAATTGAGATGAAAAAACCGCACCCTGGTCTCACAGCACTTTCAGTGATCTGATTCTCGAGTGACGTGAAAAAACCCACAATGCTTTGCAAAAAGAGTAGAGGACATAGACACTGGTGGTGTGGTCCATCACTCATAAGTTGGGTGTGTAAAGAAGGGGTTGGAATCAACTGGGAGGCAAAGCCTGTTTCGTCCCTCACCAAAAACCAAATAAAATCAAATCATGTTCCATTTGGCAAAAGGTATGTGAATACTGGTAACACGTTTTTAACATGGCTTAATTAATAATTTCTTGTACCAAAAGTGCAATGCTAACCTTCCCTTGAAGCTCTGCAAGTTTCATGTTTGCCTCTTCTTTTTCATCTGTAACCTCCTGGAATCTTCTTTTCCATTTCTCCTCCGCTTGGGCAACCATTTTATCTGCCTTCTCTGTCCATCTTTTCTCAAGTTCCGATTCAGCTTGGGCCACCTACATATCAGTCAACAAAGGTGTTTTAGCCCTTTTTCCGCCTTCCCTCCAGGATCCCAGACGTCTTGAGTTAGTGTTAATAAAAGCGATCATTTTCTCATAATCTCTCACAAAAAAAGGGTCGTTCAACGCTTGTAAGCTCCTCCAATTCGCTAACACTTGTTTAAAGTAAAGCTCGCACCTTTGCATTTTCTTCACAATAGAATACCTCAAGAGTAACGTTCCTTTCGATGAATAGCTTAAGGCCACTTGTAATTCAAGTACAGCGTAATTTGATATGGTAGCAGTCACTGGAGACAGCGCTGAGGACTGGGATATTAACCTCAAAGACAGAGAGCCTTTCACATCAACAGACACAGGCCTGTGTTAACTGGCCTCAAGTGATCCTTGAATGAGTGATGCGCTACTCTTAAGGAAGGTTTCACCCGCCCTCAGACTTAATTCTGACTTGAGTGTGGGAGAGGTTTTGTAAACTAAACGTATGTCGGGGGCTTGAGGGGGGACGGGAGGTGGGCAGGTTGGTTGATTTCTTTCCTATTCCAGTCTTTGAGTCTCTATCCATAAGAAAGAAATCTATCCTCAGTGAGATAGTCTTGAGGAAGGTGTCGCCTGTTCCCCCGCCTCCCCCGTCTCCACTACTGGCTTCTGCATCTTTACTTGAATGTGTGAGAGGTTTTTAAACCAACAGCATATTAGCTGAGGCTAAAATTTTCTGAGGAAAAATCTTCCCCGGTTGGAAAGGAATCTCAACCACTAAGCTTGAAATGAAGCCAAATTCTCCAGGCAATACATTTCCTTTAGTATTACAAGTGAACTTGCTTCAAGATCAAAACCTTTTGTCTCTCGAGATAATTTCCTTTCTTCACAGAAACTTTATCTTTGAAAAGCAGTGAGTAAATTTTAAGTTCGCCGATTGCCAACGGGGTTACTTTAAACTACCACTCTACAAATTGGCAATGTAGATTTTGTTTCTTACCTGTTGGGCTGTCACTGTTCCGCTGCTTTTTTGCTCTTTTCTGTGTTTTTCTTTTAAGAAAATAATCTCCTCCTGTTAAAGAAACACGAGGAAATCGTTTCAACAAAAGCAGGCAATTATAAACTGGAAGGAAAAAATGAAGAATATCAAGCCATTACAAGGCTGTGCTCTAAGGAAAATTGAAGGGAGCCCAGTCCTCTGAATCTGTAAAATCTAGGGTGCCCAGCATATGATTTGTATGAAAAATCTGTGATTTTCTAGTCGCCCGAGGGCAAAAGTACAAAGTGTATGCACAATTTTGCTTCAGTTTCAATATTGCATAGGGTGGGGGAAGGGGAACTGAAAGGCATTTGTAAAAAGATACACTGCTTTATCAGGGACTGAAGGCTCTGGTCTAGGGGAGCACATAAAAGCTGCCCATACAAGCAATTACATGTGCATTTATTGCTTCATTTTATCAGCTGGATAGTTGGTCAGATTTTTCAATAAGAACTTGCGCGAATCATGGTATAGGCTTGATAATGCATGATGGTGAGGTTTCAACAAGCGACTTTAAAAACGTCCAGGAAGAGGTTAGTTTCTAAGGGAACAATGGTGTTGCGACAGTTAGGGAATGAAATACAGAGAACTGGTCCTATTACCTGAGTTGACATGAAAACCAAATGTATGACTTAAAACATGACTGTGAATGTATATATACCGGTAGTTTCACACTTCACCTTGAAATAAGGCAGCGGAAATGAAAGAGAACGTTAAGTCTTATCGATTGAAAATATTATGAACATCTTTAGAAACCACATCCACTCACCTCTTGCTGAGACCGTAGCTCCTCAAGTTCCTCTTCAAACTTTTTCTTGTCCGCTGCGTGTTTTTTTTTCCGCTCTCCCAGAGTCTGCTCAACAACAACATTAATTAATACATACACTAAAAATGATTTTCTTTCGTGCACGCTCTAGAAAACAACTAAATGTCCATGCACTTTACTTGTTTATTATCAAGTCGATATTGATAGATACTATTCATAACAGCCCGAAACAGGAAAATCCTTTGTTACGTGAATATAATATGAACAATGATCTAAACCTTTGAGGTTGATATTTCTCTTTGCCCTGATGTTTTCTACTTCCCTCTCAGAGAGTGAGCTCTTTGTTCCACAGAACATCTGAATGACTATTTGTATGTCAATACAATGAAAGGAATTACTCTAATGTCGGACCTGTTCCATTTTCTCACCTTTTCTAAACTCTCCTTTTCGTGTTTCAGATCGTTGAGTTCCTCTTCGATGTGGTCAACTTTGCTTTCTAGTCTTTTCTTTGCTTGCTTTTCTTCCTTAAGAGTTTTCTTCAGTTTCTCAGTTTCCTCAGTACTTTCTACAATTAAACGAGATAGAGGAATTTCAGTTACAAATCACTTACATGACGGTAGACCAATTCGACTGGCCGGTACATACAAATTTCACAATCAAACAAGCTATCCAAACCTGAGGAATACTGAAGAGTTTTCCACTATCCTGTTACAGTTGATGTTTCCTCAGAAACACCACCAACTGTTTCATCTTAATAAATTGGTATAATCATATAAACGATTGTTGCTACTGCAATCTCTAACTGTCATCACTGTTTCTCGTTAGGATACCTCACACACATGCAATTCCCTGACTGGTTTCAGCATCATCAGTTTTGTTTAGCTTTACTGAAGAGAAATTACTTGAGCCACGTCACAAGGATTTGCATTAATGTAACTAATGGACAAACCGGGAGGGGGTGAAGAAGGAATGCATGTGGCTAAGATCCGGAAATACAGACCCAACTTTTTTAGAGATTACCTCAATATCAGGGAACAGAAAAGTGATTTACAATGCTCAGAAATGATCTTTCCTTGCAAGTAAATAAATTTGCTTTGACAATCTGATGTTGACATTTAACAACTAAAACACCAGAGCCTCGCCGCTTCACCCTGAAGCTAACTAACCTGTGTGTGAGTCTTTAGTGTGAGTCAGTTCGTTTTTGTACTTGTCTGATTCTGCTGTCACTTTGCTGAGCTGGCTGCTAAGCTCTGCTTCTCTCTGGCGAAGAGATGCGACTTCATTCTGAAGTGATGCTAAGTGCGTCTTAGCTGTTGTCAGTTCACCACTCATTGAGATCTTCAAAGGAAATCACGTACCCATTAAAGTGTGAAGATTATGCGAAAAGCCAACTTCGTAAAGTCACGACAAGTGAAACCATATAGTTTGCTAAAAAAAATCGCAGCATGTGCTTATTCCTAAATACAACATCATTGTTATTGGTTGCTAAAAAGATCAGTTCACAGACTTTCCTCAATTTTCCTGATAAAAATATAATTTTCCCGACCAAATAAATACAAAATGCAAGATACAGTAGCGGCCTCTTGTCTTACCAAGTGTAAATTGCAGCCGTTGTTTCCCTTTTCCCTGTCCTCGTTTATGAATCAATTGAGTCTTAAAAGGAGATAGTTTCCCTAATTTTTTATTAACGAAAGACACCTTGAGATCACAGTGAACTGGAATGGTATTAAATCAGTGGTTATTATTTTGTTTTGTACCTTTTCTTGCTCTAACGACAACACTCGGGCTTGCGATTGCGCTGTGTTGACTTGAAGCGAGTCACTTCTCTGTTCCAACATCGTGTTGCTTTGTTCCACAAATCTGAAAAACAATCATCATCATCACCTTCACCACCACCACCACCAATCATTATCAATAGGGAGCTTTAGCATCGACGCCGGCAACGACAGCGAAAACGTCAGTTTTAAAATGAATTCCCGTTTTTTCAATTTTTGTAGCGTTTATTCCAATTTGCTGAAAATGGCAAGTGTAGACGAATTTCCCTAGAGTTGATTTCTTGAGGACCGAACTCAAGTTGAGAGAGCGAAAAGGAGATTCGTCGTCGCTTGTTTACGTCCTCCATAAAACTTGCAATTAGGCATTTTCACGTCGTAGTCGTGCAAGGACGGTAAAGAAATGTGCAAAAAAGCGTAATGCACGTGCAAAGTTGTTGTTTTGCGTAATAACCCTATTACTTTTTTGACGTCCTCGTTGCCGTCGCCGTCGTCGTTGCTAAAGCTCCCTAATATCAATACCATGACTGCCATCCACATCGTCAATAGTCTTACGGTGGTCAGCACCTCAGTTTTGCAGTTGCTTATGATCAGCTGATTTATGAAAGGAAAACAAAACTATTAGGTCTACTAAGCACGATACTCCGTTGCAGTTAGATACCTCTGACTTTTTTGCAGTAACTCTGAAATCTTGTCGTTTAGCATCTCAATCTTCCTCGTTTTCTCAGCACTTTCAGCTTTGAATTTCTCGTTTTCCTATTAATAAGGCATTAGAAATACAAGCATTAACAAAATGACTTTTTACGCTGAACAGTAATGGACTGATGTTTGGAAACCATTCTTCTTAATGAACCGAATTGTTCGTGAACCTAAACTCTTAAGTGTAAGAGTATTGCATGCACGAATACCACACCTTTCCACCTGCGGAGGAAATGTTATGGTGACGGCATTTAAATGAGAGCTCGAAAACGTAGGAGAACTTTCACTGATATTAAATGTCATGGCGACTTCGTCTTTCATGACACTCCTTCAAACCGGCTTACAAAGGACTTAAATTAGGGCGGATTAAAAAGTTTCTCGATGCGACTGACAAAAAACTCTCCCCTAAATCTGTCTATACCATTCTTCTACGGCTAACCTGTAATAAAAGGTCCAAAACTTAAAGGCATTTGCTAAATGTTTAGGATTTTGAGCTCTTTCTGAGCTCTTTCTGAGCTCTTTCGGGAGTCAAATGGTTAATGGATACAAATACTCTGACTTAACCCTTTAAGCCCCGGTATCAACATCGACATGCTCCAAACTTATCTCTATACATTTCCTTAATAAATGAGTTGAGAGAGTTTGATAAAAGATCAAAGCATTTTCTCTTAGGTGATCATTTAGTTAATTCTCATAACCTCATCTCATGACAATGTATGGATATCGTTAGGAGAAAATTGATGTTGGTCACTATTGGGACTTAAAGGGTGAATCATTTCTGTCTATCCCTGATCTACGCTCCCGCTCAGTTTATATAAAGCCATGAAATCGTATCTTTGTACTATCAGTGGTTGTCTCGGCGATCTTATACATTACCTGCGCTATTCTGGTGACATTGTGAACTAAAACAGAAGCCTCTAATGCAGCTTGTGGATTACCAAAAGCACCAATTCCTATCTGACCAGCTGGAGCTAGGGGTCCAGCTAACTGAGATGAACTTTGGAAATGACGTTCAACCTGTAAAGATATTTATAATATAACGCTGAGAAAGATGCCACATTCGAGTTCACGAAAAGGATTCGAACCTACCGTAACGTCTGACAAGTCTCACCACAGTCAATCGACTTTTTACTTGCCTCCTGTGATCCTCTATTTCCCTATACTAAGGGTAACGCACAGCGGGGTGTATGGCGGGTTATTTGCAGGAATTTTTACTTTAGAGCTAATTCTCTGTTCTACAGTTCTACCAATATCTGACAAAAAACAGGGGCTCATTAGATTGACAATTTTATTCCTATTTGTGGTGGGGTGCAGGGTTTCACTGTGACAGGATTCTCAGAATTTATCGCTTCTTTCATTAGCTATTACAAGGTTGCGCAGAGAACTGAGTCAAAAATCATCCCTCAAAACAGTCCCACAGTGCAATTCGAAAAATACTGGCCCAGTCCCAAGCGAGGCCTCAAAATGGCCAAAGATTCCAGGTGATACTCAACAGCAGCAAAGCTGGAAGAACCCAAAACTCTCAAAGCTAGAGAGGGGTCAAACTTTACCATTACATTAGCGGGAATGTATCAAGGATTTCTTAAGTCTACACATAGAGTTGCGGATGTTAAAACAGTGTAAACCCAGTAAATTCTTTACTTTAACTGTACTCACCTTATTAGAAAGGTCGTCAATCTTGTCGGACAGTTTGCCAATAGACATGCGGATCTCTCCCTGCTGTTGCCGAGTCTCGGCCATAAGTACGGGGACCATGGCATCACTAGCAGTGGGCTGTGCCGGAGGGGGTGGCGGAGGGGGTACAGAATATGGAGGGGTAATAAACTGTGGCTGGGGACCCATCATGGGATATCCCATGCTGCTGGGAGCCGGAGGCTGAAAGAATGGCATAAGGAATGCAAAGTACACTTAGCATTATCTTAAGCAAAATACTCACAATGTAATTTTGGAATAGTTACCATTTACATAAGAAAACCGGAAACTCCGGTTAGAAAATCAAATGGTTCACGCCTTTCCGTTTTAGAAGCCTCAGAAATATGGGCTGTGATTTGAGGCGAATCTATTTTTGCACTCTTTTTAGTCTGTTCAGCTGACTTAGATACACTTTGTGGCGGGTCGTTCTCCCGCCGAGTCAAATTTAATAGGCATATGTTAATGCACAAGATTTCCATCCGGGTTGCTTGCGTAAATGGTAAGCACCCCAGGTATTCCATCCCTGGCTTTTATTTTAAAAGTTACAGGAGCACAAAAAGATGACATCTATCTAGCCAAACGTTAGAAGAGCCTTCTGAGCAGTAAAAGCAAAAATTCTCACCGCAAGGTTTAAAACAATTTAATTTATGGCATCATTTGTTAGATCTATAAGAGTATACACAATAGAAAATATTATTGTTCTTTATTCATTTGCATTCACATTACACAAGAAAAAACACAAAATCTGTGGCATTTCCACAGACAACTCTCGACTACTGACCTCATACTGCAAAAAACATGAAATGCTGAGAGTTTCTACAAATTTGTACAGTTAGTATAAAATGTAAAATAAGTATGAGAAACATACCTGATACAAAGCAAGTGACTGTTGTGGTTGTGGTTGCGGTGTGAAGGCTGACGGCACCAGTGGTTGTGGATTCATTAATGGTTGTGGGTTGATTACAGGTTGCTGCATTGTCTGTGCTGTAGGAGCTGGATTGTGCATTGGCTGATGAACTTCAGGATGAACTTGAACAGGTCTGGGGGGTGGTTGAGGCTTGGCTCGTGGGCTGGGATGTGGATTGGAGTTGATAGCTGGAGGGCTTGTTGCGTCACTCTCTGATCTTGTGTCACGAACAGCTGGCTCTGGATTGGGGGGTACCTCCTATAGAATTTATTGTCATCATTATAAGATTAATCTGTAATAATGATTAGCGTTTTTCCTGCAACTTAACTAGACTGAAATTATAAACAATAATTATTAATGAAAGTGGTTTTTGTGATATCTGGAATAATCAAGGTCGAGGTAAGTGTTATCAGTCAAGCCGAAGGCCAAGGCTGATAGCACTTACCGAGATCTTGACTATTTAGGATATCACAAAAACTGAATCTAATGATTATTTTATTATACATTGTTTTGATGAAAATAAGGACAAACACAACATTGCAGGGAACCTAAAATGATATTGTTATTAGAAATCATGCAGTGCACACTCAACATTCAGATTAGTCAGTTATTTACTAGCAGATAACTAACTAATCTGTAGGTTGTGTTGATTTCCAAAATTAGCTGTAGGATTTTGGCCAATGAGAAGACAGATAGTGAGCACAATGTATAATAATCATTATGGTATTTTAAAGGGTGATTCAATTAATGTAAACAGTAGGTGTACGTTGTACAAACTATAATAATCAATTGTAGCTAAAATAAATATTTTGTAGTCTACAATGAATTTTCAGAAACAGATATTTCAAACTGGTCAAACAGGCCAGGTGATTTGTGTATATGATATAAGCACCCCTGGGATGACTATCACTGCTATGCACTAGATAAATCTCTGTCCAACGGATAACTCAATTCTATCGGTTTCACTTAGACTTACAATCTACTGGCTAGTGATTTATCCTGTGGATAGCATTATCCAACATTTGAACAATCAGGAGCCAGTCTGTTACTTTGCTACTCATAAGAGTACCTGCTCTGGTTCGCCCATGTAAGCATCATATTCTGGTTCAGCCACAACTGCTCCAGGAAGAGACAATGGATTCTTACCCATTTTAGACATTCTAGCAAGCAAACGAGCTTTGTCTGTGCCTTTCCCAGGAGACTACAAAATTTAGCGAATAATAATTATTTCACTAACAGTACAGTGACCACATTAACCCTTGAAGTCCCAAGAGTGACCAACATCAATTTTCTCCAAACAAAATCAATACAATGTATTGATTTTGTCATTATTTTATATTGATAATATTAATTTTGATAATGTCATTATCAAAACAAAAGGTTATGAGATTTAATAAATGATCACCTAAGGGAAAATGCTTTGATCTTTTATCAAATTCTCCCAACTTAGTCTTTAACGAAATGTATGGAGATCAGTTTGGAGAATTGGTAAGTGGATATTAAGGCTTAAAGTGTTAATGTTTAACTCAGTCAGGCCTCTCCAAAGTTTAAGCAAGTGATTGCCCATTACTGCTATAATAATGATAGCAGCGATGGCTTGAAAATAGCTGGCTCTTATTGCTCTCTGCTCCAGAAGTGTCTCTCACAAAACATCTCCCGCAGTAGCAAGCAATGAGAGGCAGCTTATTTCACAAGCTATAGTAGCAATGGATGTCATTTCAATGTGATGAATGTTTCACCAAAATTGAAGGGGAACAAAGATTTTGTTAACCCAAGATAGCTATGCCATGTTGAATACTATTACATCTTCCTTTTCTTTCATGATTCTTCTTTTACTTACACCGTACAGGACACTATCAAGTTGCTGATCTTTTCAGCTACGAGCAACTGGTCAGATCAGGTAGGAGACCTGTGGCAACAAACTAGTCTTTTAACATACTACATCTAGTACCATCCAACTTCTTATTGCCACCAATGTTAAACTGATGTTGAACACAGAAGCAATGCAAAACATGATTTCAAGGCATCAATAGAATGTACATTCTAACCTGAGAAAGTTGTTCATTGATAGAAGCCGTTCTCCCCTTTATGCTACTATCAGCTGGTACACTGTAAAAAACATAGTACTTCATTTGAGTATCAATGTATTCAGTGTGAAAAGAACTATGTGAGGACACTATTTTTTTATGTCTCCTTCAGGAGATGGATCACCACTGGTCATCTGAGCCACGTGAAGGTGATGCTGTTTGCAGGGCAAAGGAAGTACCTTCATTTCTCTTTAAGACCCTAGTTATTAGACCTGCCACGGGGATTGAACCCGGGACCTTCCACTCTGTAGTCAAGTGCTCTACCAACCGAACTACATGTAATCCAGCTAATCCAGCTGTGGTAAAACAGAACTTTCCAAGGACTTTTCTAGGATTTATGCTGTCTTCACATTGAATTTGTACAAAATGTGACACAATAGCATTTAATGAATTTAACATCTTTCACTACAAAAAAGGTTCACATCAGACAGTGCAGTATGAGAATTATGATCAAAACTGTTTAATCTGAGCATGATCAAAACTACTTGTTATATTCCTAGACTTTCACTCAACTAAACAGGGACTGCCATTGGTTGATTCTTGGTCACGTGGCCTTGACTAAAATCAAATGTATCCCGATCGTGATACATTAAACAATGTATCCCGCTCGGGATACATTGCAGCACGTGATCAAAGCATGGTGGAAAGTGGCGTGACAGAAGGCGGGAAAAACACCGCCAGGCCCAGCCAGTTCTCTTTTTCGTGAATGAACACAACAACAAAAAAACGAAGCCTTAAGCTAAAAAGCAACGATTTTTAAAGTTATCGCAGAAGTTCCCAGAAGAAAAACAGCAGCTAGTGGAGGAAAAAGATGCACATAATATGAGGAAAGTACTTTTGTTTGTAAATCATTCATTCAGTGGCTTTGAGAATTAAATTTGTGTTGTTATAAGTACCGAGTCGACTGTTTTGGTTCGCTCCGGTTATTCTTTTGTTGCTGTTGAAGTGAAAGTCTAGAAATATAACAAAACCCTTAATGTCAGGTCCCTCGGGAAACCAGTTAGTTTTGTTTTCCCTCGAGTCCTGATGTTTCCCTCGACTTCGTCTCGGGAAACATCAGGACTCTCGGGAAAACAAAAATAACTGTTTCCCTTGGGATCTGTTAGTGTATAATGTACTGCCTGGGGAAATTTTTTTTATCTTGATTGGAAGAAGCATTTAAAAGATGGGAGCAAAAAGCAAGGAGAAAGTGTAGAGGAAAGAAACAAATTTTAAGTCGAAATTAAACTGTGTAGAGGTGAGCAACAAACAGAATATTTGAGAGAATATCACCACAAGAGTAGAAAAATAGCACCAGTTCCAGCATATTTCCTGGTGAACATGCAATAAAAACCCACATATTTCAGAAAAAGGGAGAGAACTGTTTTGGAACAGACATGTCATGTGAAAAGTGCAGTGTTAAGCATGTTTAGGAGAAAAATATTCTGGGTATACTAAATAAATGTTTCCTCAAAAATTGTATAAATATAGTGAGAGAGCATTTACAAGGCTGCAATTTTATCATTTGCTACAGCTTTACGCCTTCAGTAATATTTAATACCACCCAGTAGTCTATGTAACACATTTCCAGGATACTGTAATCACATTCTATTCTCTGAGAAATTAATGCTAGAGTAAAATCATTAGATTTTCCAGAGCCTGTATGAACCATGTTACCCATTATGCCATTTTTTAAATTTGATCAGTTAAAAAAGAAAGATGAGATGGCTAATAATTACCTCATCTGGGAGGCAGCAGAGTCTGTGGAGCGTTTTCTGGTACCACTTGGCTCAGACAGGATATCAGGAAGCTGTTCGGAGTTGCTCTGGGAACTGACTGTGGGCTCTTGAACTGTCAGGGGAGACTCACTTGAATCTCTACTGGATTTGATCTGTCACAAAGAGTAACAAAATTTAATACCAGCAATTGAGTACTTCTAATTAGCCAAGTTTAAAGCATTTCATATAAATATTACTGAAGTAAATGAATGAATCATTTTCAAAATGGTATTTTCATAAATTTGAATGTTTTTCACTGACAAGTTCTTTTTAAACATCTCTTTAGATATGGATGCAGACTTTGACAGAAGGGCTTCCTTTTTTAGTCTCTCTCCAATAGCATTCTGTTCTTGATTGTGTCATTTCTGAAGTCAAAGTATTTCCTCTTAAGTGGGATAAACTTGTAGCAGGGTTGTCACTAAGATTTCAAGTTGCCGGGTAAATACAAGAAGTAGGCAGGGAATCAAACGGCTAGGGATTTCTTTTGGTTCTATTTTTCTTCTATTTTCCAATAAAAGTAGCCGGGGGCCACTCTCTTAGTAGCCGGGGAAAATCCCCGGCCCCCGGTTCTTAATGACAACCCTGTTGTAGAGCCAGTTATTTAAACATAGTTTAGCCAGTGTTTAACAAAACCACATTCTAAGCCATTTTCAATTTGCCCAACGGTTTTATCCAAAGTTTTATCCAAACACCATTATTGTGGACAGTGTCATGAAAGCATACAGAGCAGACAAGAACAGTATTTATCTTCTTAAAGTAAACCACTAAGGAAGAGATCTTGAGGTTGGAAGAATTGTTACACTGCAGCTTAAGTTAGACTTCGTTTAAAAAATCAACCCATCCAGTTTTGTGTCACAGCTCATTAGAAAAAAGCCGCCATGATAATCTGTTGTCAGTGGCAACTTTCCTCAAGAAAGGACCTACACATTAATTTACTGTACATATAGACCTGTACCACAGTAAATACATGAAGTGAGAAAATTATTTATAATGTTGTTTCCTGAAGCCTTGCACAGTGTTGTATTTTTGTACATAGAACAGAAGCCTGCTGACAAGTTGTAACATAATGGACTAAGTAACATAGTATGTGCTACATACCCTGAGAACATCTACTTCAAACAAGAGTGGGGAATTAGGAGGAACTCTGCCACTCACACCCTGACAAATTTTAACAAAATTATACTTAATTAACAGTGCTAACATCCATACTAAGATACATGTATTAAATCCAAATTTAACCCTTTGCTCCTAAACTGCCTTTAACCGCCTGTGCGGATCCATGTCCCTTGTACATCTTGTGACGTCAGTTATAACAGTCACAACTTTGACATTCAGCTAGAGTAAGAGGAGGAGATCTTTTTAACAATGCCAGAACGAGCATGATTCAGTCAAGGAGACTAGAAAACCACGCAAGAATGACCAGAAAATTCCAGTGAACATAATAAGCTTTTCCCGTAAGGTAAAAGTTAGGTTTAAAAGTTGCCTGAACTTCAATACACAGTGTAGCTGCTATTTTGCACCTGGAACAAAAGGCCACCACCTATACATAGCCAGAGAGTGACCAGAAAATGGTTCGACTAGCTTCCAAAGGTGTTTTTTCTGCAAAATTCCCAGGATTAATATCAATTATTACAGACTAAATTTATTTAACAATCAGTAATTTGTATAAATAAGACTTCCTGAACAATATCGATTTAAATGTTCACAAAACATAGCCAGTCTTAACGTCTTAATGATGCTGACAGTTTCGATGACTGTCGGCCATCTTTATCTAAACAAAGATGGCTGACAGTCATCGAAACTGTCAGCATCATTAAGACGTTAAGACTGGCTATGTTTTGAGAACATTTAAATCAATATTAACTTCACTAGCCTGATGAATTTCTTCAAGGACTTCCTGAACAAACCACACAGTTTTGCAATATGTTGACCACATACCTTTTCACCATAAGCCAGGGATGAAGGAATAGCGATTAGCCTTTTACCACCTTTCTTCATGCCTATTACACCTTGCTCCCATCCCTTAAATAAATGAAATTCATACAGGTATGTAAATATATCAACTATTATTATTGTTATTACTATTATTATTATTATTATTATTATTATGATGATGATGATGATGATGATGATGATGATCATCATCATCATCATCATCATCATCATCATTATTCATATCAAAATATTTCTCTGTTTCTGATAAGCTCAAATCCCATGGATAATTCATCATAACCAGTGACTGTTGACCAAATTTGGAAGAAGCTTCCAATATGTGAAAATTGATGTCAATTCTACTGACAGCATAATAATTGCCAGAAAGCTAAACAGTTGACCGAGAAGCTCTGGAGATGAGGTTGATTTGTTTTGGTAGAGCAATACTATATGGTGCAACATTTCACTCGTTTTGTGAAGAAGAAATAGGCAAACTACTGGCTAAAAACATAGCAAGAACAGCAAGACTACAACTCGAAGGATGACATCTGCTATTTGGAGAATACTTGCAGAACTAAAGATCCCTTTATCTCCTCGACTTGCCGATAAACAGGCAATTGAAAATGAACTTAACATCGATGGAGAAAAGCATGCTTTGGCTTGTTTCTAAACTAGGAATTACTTTGAATTCAACTTACTTATCATCTGAAGAATTATGGATATCTTGGAGGGTGTTATCCTCCTCGATCTCCATAATGATACGAAGCTTCATCCAATAAGTGTTTGTCATCATTATCATTATCATTATTATTACATGTATAATCATAAGTAAGACAAAATTGTCAAATTTGATTGGCTATCAACTGCCCTGATTTAAGCCTTAATAATATTGGACAGTTTAATAGGACAATACGCGTCATGGTTAAGTAATTGGACAGTATGCGCTATCATGCGTACGCTTAAATGGTTTTTTTTTTCACTGCTAGCAAAACAAAATTTTGAATTTCTTGTGTTTTGATTTAAAAAATAGCCTATTATATCACAAATTTTGTAAAAGTTATGATTAATTGGTAACAGAACTTTGTGTTGTCCAATTCGGTCTGTAATCATACTCGGGATTAAACAAATCGGACGACCGCGATTTTGTCAATCACTCGTATAATTACAGACTGAATTGGACTCCACTCAGTCCTGTTACCATTACTAATAATATTATTGTTGTGGAAGTGGGATACCTTAAAAACTCGAAGAAAAATGGTTGAAGAGTCAGACCACAACTATAACAAATTATATTAAACATGTACGCTTCCTTAGGCTAGATTACTAAATACCTGGCTCAGTGCAGAGTGTACAGAAACATAAAAACTAAGCAACAGATCCACTTTCAATTACATAATCCTTCAGAATATATATTTTTTAAAATAACAAATATGGAAGGAGAACTGTAGTTACTGAAAGAGGCAACAAGATTTTTAAGCAATTTTAATTTTTTTTAATATTGAGAAAATCAAGAAAATTAGATGTTCTGAAGACTTAATGTGAAAATAATGCACAGCCATAAAAAGTATTTGTTAATATTACATTCAACAATACCTTGATAACCTTTCCCTTTCCTGTCTTGAATTTAAACGTCTTATCAGTCTCAGTATTGCCGTCAAATACCTTTAAACAGGCAAACCACCAAAACTTAATATATGAGTACATGTACATAGGTGTATGTCACTCTCATCAGTTCCCACCATTTTTGAGCTTGTACACATGACCAACTACGATGTCAGCATTTCTGCCTTTTCATACTTAATGATAGACCCCACACTTTCATAAAATGTGAAGTTTATAAAATCCTCCATCTTTCACTTTGGAAATTGGTGTACACTGTAAACACAACTAGGCTAAAATGCATAACAATGTACATTTGTAAAGTGCAACCTCTTTTAATATAAATGCGTCCTCGGCTTAACAAATGATATTCTTTGCCCCAGCAATAGTAAAATATATGAAAAAAATCTCAGTATAGTGAAACCTTGTGATTGCGAACATATTTTGCCAGTCCCTTGGCCCTTTTATATTTTGAGGTTCCACTGCATGTGTTTTCTAACAAAAAGACTGGCATCTGGGCCAAAAAGTTTACTTGAATCATTAAAACCCGAGAGTATACCTACTGTGTTATTCAAATTCTTGTATTGTGTGCAGGTTTCGAAGGAGGAAACTTTAGTTGCACATAATCATTATTTTTCCCTCCTTCCTACTCACATTTCCAAAATTATGATTCTTCCATAACCACCCTGTATATTTGACTTCCAAAGCATCTCCTAGTTCAATTGCCTAAAACCACACAATCAAACAGCAGAACACACATTTTATTAGCTATTTTATAATCATTACATTTGTATTATTAATTATTAACATACACATGTACATTTAAACAAAGGGCACTTTCCATTCAACCCTAAATTGAGGAAATTTCGGTTGGTACATCAAATAATGGAATGGACCAATTTGGTTTGGTCCGACCGGAATATTCAGGACCAGCTTTGAAGGTGGTCTAGCTTGACCAGTCTCGTCATTTCAGTCGGTCAGACTAAAAAATTCCCCTTTCCATTTGACAAAATTGTTGTCCCCAGTACCGCTCTTTTGTATCCTGCTTACAAGCACAATAACCAAACGCACGGTGGCTTAGGTCATGTCTGTGCAACCAGAATGTATTGTTCCATTGGGCAAATGAAATTTCCGAAATTTCAAACCGGAATTTTTGTTGAATGGAAAGCACTCAAAACCTTTCATTATAACTATTAAAATAAGTGACAAAAATTAATTAATTCAAAACAATTAATAATACCGACATGAAAAAAACAACTAGAAAAATTCGATAACCTGTCCATCACCAGGAATAAGGTCTTGCGTGCAAAGAGTTGTAGGAGCAGAGTTGAACTTGGACAATCCAACCTACAAAAATTAGGCAATTTTTAAAAATGAAAGTGAAGCAATAGATTAATAATATAAATTAGTCCACCCAGGATTTCCCAGTTGGTACTGCACAAAAAAAATTCTCTTGGCCATGTAATAAACCCTCATCAACCAAGTCTGTTTGGTTAAGATGGATAGATAACAGGCTTGTTCTTTTTATCGCATTTTTATGCACCTCAAATTTCTCTCCACCCCTATAACTGCAAAAAACAGAATTTGGACAATTATCCAGGCATGTTGACCTCAAGATTGGTCAAGAAGGCATATTCATAATTTTAAGGAAGGGTAGTTACAAACATAGAAAATTAATAATACATGTACATGTACACCTTAAAAGGTCAACCATATGTCATTTACATTACAGAAAAGCTATGGGTTCATTCATTGGTATGTTATTTTTTTTTAGTACTGTCAACAACATAAATTAAGTTGAGATTAAATTTTTAATTACATGGCAGTTAACAATTTACTTGTTTATTATAATTTGGTAGAAACCAAGATAAGCCCCTAAGAAGTTGATCACCTTGGCCAAAGCAGTGATAATTCATTGATTTCTTAATTTTTGCAGACACCAAACCTCACTACTGCAGAATAAACAGCTGACTATCATGGAGTAGGGATGAAACACTAATATTTGTGATAAGGCTTTCTTTTTGAAAAAGATGGAACCTACTGCAGCTATAATTGTCATAAATTCCCTGATTAAACAAATAATTGGCCAAAATGGAAAATACCCTAATATTCTTCAAATTTCTGTTTGAGTGGTGCTTCTTGTAAACCCAACTTTTGCAATGTCTTTTGTTCTCTGCACGATTTGCACGTGCAATGCATCAGCACCTTGTAAATTTGCATGTACTGCACGTGCAGTTTGTGCAAAAAAAACAAAAAAACTACAAAAGCAAGGTTTACATGAAGCACAACCCAAAATACAGTTTAAAGAATATTATGGTATTTTCCACTCTGGCCAGAAACATGAAAGCTAACAGTAGCATTGTAGAACTTTGTTCCACTTTGAACTAATATGCAATTCTGTTTGCTTTACCTGCTTGGCGAAGTCTGAAATTGTCTTTTCTGAGTCAAAACAAAGTGACCATGTTTGTCTCTGGTCATCATAAAAACTTGCATAATTGTTTCCTTGAACCTACAAGAAAGGTGAAGATAGTTCCTTGCTTTCCATAAATCTAGCAAAAATTATTAATTATACATTTAGACAGTCTCACACTCAAAAATACTTTCATAGTTCATAGTTTCTGATGAATTTCAAGGACAGGAAGTTGACCAACAAAATTATGACTGTAGTGGTTGTAAAATTAAAGGGACAATTTTTGGAATAACCTTTTTCAGTCCTAAATACAATAAAACATGACTCACATTTCACGCATTTATTTGCTGAGTTTTGAGTGATTTTTGAGCACGGGATAAATAGATGTGGCAGGAGTTTAAAACTAAATTAATCATAGGTACAGTAATAGTATGCTGATCATCAAAATAATCCATCCTCTGTTTTCACTGACTTGCCATAAAAATAAAAATGCAAACCATTCAATACAGAAAGTCCAGAATCTGGGAAATGAAAGAAGATAAATATACAAAAGGCCTCGCCAACAACCAGGTCTGTACGATATTTCATATTCAAGATATTCGGAAAAATGTTTAACCCAAATTATTATAAAGCTTTGTATGTTGACGTCCCTTTGAGGGGCACAAATATGGCCGCCAGAATCCAACAGAAAAATCTGTTTTTGAGTTTTCCTACTAATGCGTAAAAACAATCGCTTGAGGAACTCATACAACTAAGGATTAAAGTATTATTAACTTTATTCTGGGACAAGAAATGTTTAGAAAGCAAAATCGCAAAAAGTCAGTAATGTTTTTAACCTACATAAGAGCTTTCCCGAGCACTAGCTAAATGCTGCCTCACACAAAAGCCTGGAAATTCAAGTGTCATCTATCACAAAAGGAAGAACCCTTTCAGACCAGAACTTTGTTTAAGTAAAGGTGTCTAACAGGTGCTGTAATGCTTCGTGAAAGTAGAAACTCATAAGAATCGATAGTTTCTTAGTTTGAATTTTAGTGACGTCACAGGAAAACCAATAATAATAATTATTGATCAAAAATTTTAAGTGACACAATAATCAATTATTATGAAATGTTCAACATTTGATAACATCACTACTGACAAAATCAAAAAATATATTGTTGACAATATTAACACTTGTGTGTGGTCTTTTTATGGACTCCTTGGTTCAGTTCAGTTCAGTTCAGTTTATTTTCACTCAATACACTGTATTTTGACTAATGCTAAGTTACAGACTTTATAGGTCATGTTAAACAAGATAAACTTTTCTATGGAGTTAATATGAAAGTTGGAGTATGATGGCCAAGTGAACCATTTGGTTTTCTTGTTGGCCACCATAACACAAACTACATTTAATATAGATACAGGCGAGGAACCACAAAGAGCAAAAATAAATAGATGCAGTAACCATAATAATATAATAATATAATAATAGACTGAAGAGAAAAGAGCAGTTAATTACAATTACAGCAATATACGAAAGATTTTTAAAAAAGCAATCTAATAATCACTCTTTTGCTGATCATTTCACATGACATGTTTGCCATGTTCTAAAACACAGTGGAGAATCTAGCAGTTTATCGATCAAGAGAAACTTAGAGCTTTACTGCATGCACCCTTTTATTATGACCAAAGTCCTACAAAATTAATCCAGACAGAGATGGCTTACTGTGAATGAAAAGTTTCCATGGATTTTGCCTGTGGTAACTTGCTGTTTTTTGGCTGCATATATAAATATCCTGTACTGTAAAAAGGAGAACACTTTAGTAAGTTTTGCATTAAACACCACTGTCAAAGCTATTTTCCTAGCAACAGAAAATAACAATAAGAAAAATAATTGACTACTGTATTAAGAAAAAATCTTATTGATGCTCCACTCAATTCAGATTAATTGAAGGGTAAAAAATAGTCTGTGCTACAGCATAACATAATAATTCACATGTACAAATAACTATTTGCATATGACAGTCACAAAAAACACATGACAAAAATGTTGTAAGATACAGGGTATACAGTCAAATAACAATTAACTGGGCCTCCATTAACCAGACTTCTTAATAATTTTATTATCCAGACTTTTTTCATGGGTCTGGCCTTTGAAATGGATTTGTTTTTCCCTGGGAGCAGAGGTTTCTTTCTGGCATGGCTTTTAGGATTTATTAAAGTCGTTTGCATGGCTTGTCAGTCATGCAGTTGCATTTGTTTACGCCTGGAGATAAAGCAATTTATCATCCACATTTCCTTGTCCAGAAATAAGACTACCTGTCTGGAAATGGGACGAGTAAAATTAATTAAAGTACTTTTTGATACCTTATACCGGTACTTATATGAGTAGGTTTAGAAAAAAGCAGCCATAGGCTGATTGCATTATATTTCTTCCAACTGATGAAATTTACACCATTATCCCTTCAGTAATGATTTAACAATCTGGTTTACAGTATGCTTAACAGAAACCACAGATGGCCACTGCAAAGGTTTCTCTCCAGGTGTATTGAAACAAACCAACTAGGTGACTGACAAGCCATGCGAACGCCTTTAAAAATTAATTCTAAAAGCCATGCCAGAAAGAAACCTCTGCTTGAATAATAATTATTCTACCCTGTGAGCAGAGGTTTCTTGTTTATTGTTTTCCCTCTAAAGACAAAGCAGTAGTACATGTAGTTACACCGTAAGCGATGAAGTGCATCCAGCTGAATGCCAAAACTGACTTCTCAACTACACTGGACAATCATGTGTGGGAAACAATAACAGTAGTGACTAGAAAAATGTCATTTAAATATTTAAATTTTCAGTTATCCAGACTCTTTTAAAATTATCCAAACTAATAACCATGTCTGAATAATAATATTGAGGTTTGATCAGCAATTTTCAACTCTCCCATGATTGCAGGTGTTACCGGTACATATACATAGGGACTGAAATGAGCTTTCAATGGGACAAACATCAGTCAATGCTTACATCATTTGCAGCATGATTTGCTAGAACTGCTGCTCCTAACTTCCCTTGGCTAGCATACTGGCCATTGACGCTAATAAAAACAAAGATTTAAGACTAAAATCAATTGAAAATGTCTCTACCAACTTACAATGTAGAAACAGGCTGGAGCTATCAGTACACTGTACATGCAGGATTGTGTGATCTTATGGCGCACAGTTGCCTCTGTTACTCAACTTTAGCTCTTTGGAGACTGAGAAGTCTTAATTTTGGCATGAAACCTTTTATGCTGGGTACCCTAGATATCACAGGTTCAGAGCACAACCTTGAAATGGTATTCACCAACAACGAAATCTCTGCTTAGAGGTGTTGAGAGAAAAATGACACTGAGACAACAGGGAGCACCACCAAGAATTATGCAGTTAGATATAGCTCTTTGGCATTACAAAGCTTTTGCTTTCATGTCCAAATTGAGCACTCTACTAGGATGAGTCATTGCCGCTAGCAATTGCGCACGCTCGCTAGCTCGCTAGTTTGAGCACTCTGGCATGGCTTAGATGTACCACATGTGTGGGACATTTGGGGTGGCTTTTTAAGCTTAACCCCCATCCTAGACATCAGCACTGCACTGATGAGGTCCAGAAGGCCGAAACAGTACTGTCTGCAGTTAGTTGTATATTAGTTTAAAAGGAAAGATATAAAGTCAGTTTTGAAAGGTTTTGCACCAGTATAGAGATCAAGTGGCCTGTCAACCCTCGCTGTGTTCTACTTTAACATTAATATTATTATTTTATACAACAAGAAACTTTCTTCCAGGGTATCACTGAGTGAATACAATCCCATGCTGCAGCTACTTAATCTGTACATGTATTCAGGATGTTCTGAATTTGATTCAAGTACAAGAATGGAGACTTTCTGGTTAGCTAAATTAATGCAAAGTTACCAATCACCTCTGGCATACATTTAGTGCCAGTGAGTGGCACCATCCACCCTTAGGGTGAAAGTTGTCTGGGAGGTTATCCCAAATGATGAAGAGCTTTGACAGCGAATAAGAACACAAAAAATTGATCAACAGGCTTAATGAGCCAAACAACAACTCTGCAATGGCAACACTCTTTTTCAATAGAGTTGCCAATGAGGTTGGTAAAGTATCCTATTACCAAGGGGTCTCTTTTTTTCATACATTTAAGGTTATAGACTTTGTTAGGAACTTACTATTTGTAGGCATGGACAACTGTTGGAGATAGGACAGATGTGTCTCCTCCTGACTGAGCTGCTGCTATTCAACAAAACAAAACACAATGCAGATAAGTGAAACCATTTTAACCCATAATAAACAGCTTTTAATGATTCAGGTGATTATCCTTTAAATTCACATTTACTTTCAAAATTCCCATAAACTACCACTACATCATCTGTTTGTCCATTGACTTAGTTGCCAGATCCTTACAGATTAGCCATGGCTAATTATTGGCTCAGAAAAGAGGAGGGAGCTGTGGAATACAGAATGCCTTAGGAGGTGAGAATTAACATCCCCAGTTCTAAAAACGATACCTACAGGTACAGTGTATATGTATGTTCAAGGCGTTCCCTTTAAGGGCACAAAAGCTTCACAATACCAGCAGTGAAATAGAGAGAGGTGCATTAAAATAAAGAAAATTAGGCCCTTCTTGAGAATGGGAAATAAATAAAATCATTCAAAAACAGCATCCAAATTTAGGGTCCTGGGTAGCATATACAATTCCCATACCCATCTCCTGGTGGACATCATGAGATGCAAACTTCCTAATGCACCTATCAATGTTAATTTGGAGGGGGCCGGGAAGCCGGGCAAAGGCTGGGATTTGAACTCGAAGCATTTTTTATGGGGGTGGCCATCATAACTGGTCAGAAGAGAACACATTCTCCACCCCTCCAATTAAGACTAGAGGTCAAATATGTTTCATTGAAAGCAGCAACGTACTTTAACAATAATTATTGTCATTAAAATGCTCTGGCGAAATGCCAGCATCACGAAGGAATGTTTTCCACCTACACAGTGTAACGAATTTGCAGCTGTTAAATTAACAAGCAAATTTACTTTCTTTCAAACTCGGCCAAAACATTTGTATTATGCAGTCGTACTGAATAAGAGTCTAACTTCCTAAAACAATTTAACGTAAATGAACTGATGTATTTATCTAAATAAGAATAGAGAGGATAAAAACAGATGCCATGTCATGCTCTCTTTCAGTCACCATCTTGCACGTGTGTATAAAAAATACCCTCAAATCCTTGTGTTTACAATGGCCCTCATCTTCAGTTACCAATACCCCTTCTAATGCGACTGATAACCGACTGGTAACCAGGTCTTTCACAGCTTCCAATCCAAGATGTCACCCGTAATCGGAGGAACTTCAAAAGTCCTCACCCCCAGGACTTGGCGATAATTACAAGTCCCCACAATGGGTGATCTTCCTTTGTCAAATCTCCAGCCTTTGTCTGCCCCCCCCACCCTTCACACCCTTCCAGATTAATGTTGATGGGTGCATAACATCGGCAAACATTAATAGTTGACACATGGAGAAAATGATGAAACAGTAGAATGGATGAAGAAAAACAAGCATCAAACCCTGTGAAATTACTTAATCACCTTTGATACACCAAAGATGGCTATGTTCACACTATGCTGGATCAATTTTTGTGGCAGCACCGTCAAGTATAGTGTTAACAGCGACAACAACCATGACAAAAAACAACAGAAAACTGATCCAATAAAAACTACACCATTTTCACGAGCATCAATTCACTGTAGCCACTCTAGCACAAAAGTCACACTGCAAATCTACAGATCGCGTTAAGTACCGTTTTTGAGATGAAACAAAGGCTTTCAGTTACATTGTGAACATAACCTATTAGGCAAAAGAGATCAAAGCTTACCAGTATTGTGTTTACAACAAGTGAATTATGCCAAATTGATATGATCAGTAGGTGTGTACCCGCAAACTATAATTCAGTATTTCTAGTTACCTTTATTATTCAACACCAATTCATACCTAGCTTTTCTTTCTTGGGCTGTTTAGGTGCGGTGTACGTCAAGGATTCGTTTCCTCCTGAAAATGAAGCTCTATCCTGACCGAACAGCGACGCGAGTTTTGAAGAACTGTTTAAGACACACAGAAAGTTGTCACGCGGGCTCGGTTTACCGCCATCTTGATGACCTGATCACAAAAAGAAGCAAAAATGGAGATCAAAGAGCACATATGCTCACCCTCTTGTCGCTGTTGACATGAAATCTCCCTCATCGTCATCAAGAGTCGATCCAAACATCCTAAAATGCGTTATCTGACTAGCAAACTAGATGGAAAGAGTTCACTTTTCAGCGCAAGCCGTGATAGGAAAATCGAAACTTCCTTTTACTTACTCTTGAGAGGCTGGGTTCTAGCGTTACCATAACATGCATACATACAAGCTGAATCATTCTTGCAAACTACCGCTGGTCAAAAATAGAACACGCGAACGCGCTAACACGAGACACTTTGAAAAATCAGAGGGTCGCAGGCGATCTCTTCCTTGTCTTACCTTGGGGTTTATTCGCTCTCTTCCTGATATACGTCCTCTTTGGAGGTTTGTACTTTAGTCCTTGCGTCACAGCAGATTGGGTTTCCGCTGAGTGTGAGAGATCTGTTTGGATACCTGCTTCGCTTACTGTCTCAAATTCCGTTTGACTAGCTGTTTGGGCAAGAGACCAAGGCACATACATGCGGTCAGAAAGAAGAGATTTTTTTTATAGGATTCTTGAAAAAAAAGCACAACACTACAGTAACGCCATAAATTCTAAGCTGCAGGGGAAGAAGAAAGAAATCTGAAACTAATACTAATAGCCGTTAAAGGATTTCCAAGAGGAAAGTGCTTCGCCGGGGAGGTTTAATCATGAGCCCCAATCAAAGGTTCCCTCATCATGGCTCCTGGTTTAATAAGCATCTAGGGGTAGGCCAGCCACTTCTATTCCAAGCGATTTTCAGGTCTCTAATGCATTCAAAAGGGTTCTCAGAGCATAAGTGATAAAGAAAAAACCTTGACAATTCTAACTTTGTCTGACAGCTGTATCTCCAAGAATCTCGAAGTCCTCGTACGTTCCTTCGAGCTGCATTGTATGGGCTGGAGCGACTGTGGCAATACCATGAGAGTCGTCCACTTTAGGGATATGTGATATCCAATCTGGCAACGCAAGGAGGGAAGACATATTTGTTCAGTGAAAACTTAAGCCAGAACAAGAACACCTTAACGTACATGTACAATCCCGTTGATCGTTCAAGGTTCATTGTCAGTCATCGGACCATCAGTAGTCCGGCAGGTGCCTCGGGACCGTCCTCTATTTTCAGTATTTTCCACGCTAAAAGAGGGCCTGCTCGAGATGACACTTGACCTGCTTGGTCACGTTCCACAACTAACGACAAAAAACAAGAAGAGGCTTGACCACAGACGGTCACAGACAACCCCCTCACCGTCTTCTCAACACGAAACTACCGAAAACTGAGTCTACGGAAACTCGAGAAAGTGAAAATTAAAAAAAAAAAACAAAGAAAAAAGTTATTACCGTGACAGAATAAGGGAGGTGTTCGAGGAACGGGGGAAGTTGTAGTTTTCAGTTTGCTACAAGAAGCCTGCGTTGCAGGGCTTTGAAGGGAAAAGGGAAATTAAGGAGACCCTACCTCGCGCGCGAGCGCCTCAGGCGGCGCAAGGAAAAAAAAGGGGTTGGCTGAAGCTGACTACCACGCGTTCCCGTTTTACTAGTATTTTTCTGTAACCTGAGGCCTGTGATCTCGATGGTGTTAGAAGCGAGTAATTCAATTTTGCCTTTTAAAAAAAGATGTACCAATTGATACTTTTCTGAAACGCAAATAAGTCTGACGTAACCTTGAAACGGTGACAACGCGCGAGACCATCACGCACGCTCCAATTTTGATGGCGATTTTCTACACGCTCGTGATAATCAGCTCGTTCAACGTTCAATCAATACTAATAATAATAATAATAAAAACGATTTTTAGTTCGTTCAGATTAGGATGTTGATAGTTTAAGGAAACAATTTTGTACACAGTTTTTGAACGAATAAAAACTTTTCTACCGAAGTGGTTTTTTCCGTGATATGTCGTCTCTATTCCGTTTATTAAACGTAGTTCTCAGTTATAGTAGATCGGATACCCTGAGGTAGATACCAATCAATTGGCTGGGACATCACTAAAAGTTAGAAAGTATACCATACGGTGAAATAATTCGAGCAATGGGCAGTATGACAGGTATGAGTCGAATCTGTAACTGCGTATTTCGTTTTAAATCGTTAAAAACAAACTTGCGTTACCTTTAGCTTCAGTGTTAAGGTCATCGAACAGATGTTCTTGTCCACCACTCGTCGTTTCTTGATCCTGCCAGACATTTTCATTATCCCCAAATCTTACTACACCAGTTTGCTCCTCGATACTCTCTGCAGCCCCCATGAACATATGAACAAGGAACTTCGCTCTTTAATCTGTGCCGAATGAATCCTGAAGTCGAGTTTCATTTTCACCACCACGATGTGGCTAAAATGTCGATTTCAACATTTCCTCCAAGAAAAATTTTACTGTTTCATTTGCTAGTTCGAAGTTTTAATAAAAATTTTATCAAGTGCCGCGTAAAAACATCAGCAAAAAGCGCGGATGCTTAACGCAGACAGCTCAGTTGTTTGTAAATGCGCATCGGACGCACAAAAGCGTGACGAGGTAATTGGATTGCGTGACGCGCGATCGACACGCGTTCATTCGGACCTTGCGTCGTTCACACCACTTTTATTTGAAAGTTTCAAACCCTCAACGGCTCACCTACACCCAAATATTGGTCGAGAACCCCCCAAACTAGAGGCCTTCGCTATCTTTCATCGGAAACCCTGACCCTGTTTAGGACAAAGAAATCCTAAAATACATACCCTGCTTAATGCCCGCTGTCTTGTTTTAAAGCCATTGCGTTAGGAAACTATACCCTGTCCAGGGGCACATCCCCGTTTAGGCCAAATGAGGGAGTACCCCCGCCCCCCGGACTAGCTATGCTATTTTGTTCATTACAAAATAAAGACGCGGTAACCCAAGAGAAAATTCCTCCTGCAATCGAGTTCAACTTTGACGCTAAGTCGGTGAGAGTTAAGTAAAATCCGACTGAGATGATCGGTTGTCACTTTGAAGAGATTCAAAAGCTAAGGTTTTAGGTGTCAGGGGCACCCAGTGACGATTTCCTTCTAAAATACATTGAAAACACTCTTTTAGGCTGCCCAGAATGCTTTTAGATCTCTAGAAATACTTTCCAACCGGCTCTATAAAATTTGTATCTGTTCATCTTTTCGAAATAACAGAGGAGCGAGGCGCAAAGCGCCGAGAGAAAAAAAAAATCCGTATCGGGAGTCTTATCAAACCGCGCGTTTGAACGGTTCAAACATAGGTATTTTGGAGAACAGACCTCAGGAGCGGAGCCAGGGTACTCACCTCCTCCCAAAACAGTTAACCCTTTCAGTCATCAAGTCAATCCCCAGAGTCTTGTTTTGTTTTTGTTGATGTTGTTTTTAGAGAACTTTATTGGTCTAAATATCTCAGTGCCTAAATAAATGGTTCAGACGAAAAAAAAAAAAAAGATCCAAAGTCCATTAAGTCCCATGAAGGGCATCTCCCAACTAAATCATTAAAAAATCACCCTTAAAAAACTATTTAGTAATGCTTATTTCAGTAACTATTGTTGCCAATGGCAAGCGAGCGAAAAGAAGGCCGTTTACATGGACCAGAGTAAGCAATTGTACCTAAATAAAAACGCATGGCACACGCAGTCCCATTGCTTTGCTTAACATACATGCGTAAGTCAACAGATGACTACTGAAAAGTTAGAGAGCTTACCTGGTCTTACCTACATATAATCCGCAAGTGAGTTAAATTCCTTTGCCAAAAAAAGAAAACAAGAATTTCACTATACTAAGTCACTAGACAGGTGCTTTATTTGACTTTTACGCCTTAGCAGACACGGAAATAACTCTTTCTAGCATGAACTCTCAATACAACCCCTGTCACTATGTACCTATATCATCTTTTAGGTAGTCTGCTTACGTTCAAATATCGACAGTATTCGTGTCGCGGGAACACATATCGCGTTGCAGCACCTGTGATTTCACCATTGGCCCTACTGAGAAATTAACCTAGGAGTACATGACTCCGAAAATGGACAGCAATCGTTTCATCTCCGATATCAGTTTAAGATCAGGCTGCTGGTAAGAATTCGACCCAGAATCTTTCCTCCAAACTTGTTTTTTTATCATTGTTATTACTTTCGAAATCAAAAAAAAAAATGCACAGCACGATAAGAACAAAAAAATTCCTTTTTTACTAGGACGGTATAGTAAGTTGGGAACTATAAACGAGGCAAGAAAGTTAATGCCTCGAACCTGATGAGTTATTGAATACGGCCTGAAAGAACTTGAAACAAGGTCTTGTATTTCTTTGACATGTATAGTTTTAACCTAAGCAGCTGACTGAAGAGGAACAAATTTGCTTTTTCATTTTTTTTTTTTTCATTGCATTGCCAAGACCAGTTTTTAAACTAAATTAACTGTTAAGAAACATATAGTTCTTTGCTAATTAGCCAAGAAAGCAGCTGTGTTTTAAGACAGGAAACTACTGAGTCGGAATAAAAGAGCTACAATGGGGTAAGTGTTGCTGGTCACACGGTGATGACTGAGACCGCAGTATATAGCTAAAGTGTTCAGCGGGGTTGACTTTTTGTCCCCAGCACAGCACAGATACAAACTGCTCAAAACAACTGTACTTGCAATAGGCCACTTCCGAGTTCCCCCGGGCCTCTGTTTCAAAACGAGGGTAGGTGCTCAGCCTTTGATATAGAAATCATTTTTCATTCTCATGCAAATAAAACTCATTTTCACAAGAAAGTTTGTGCACTTGGCCTCATTTTGAAAGTGAGGGTCTTTGGAACTCGGAAGCGGCCTATTGTTGAACGTAATTCTCTGGAACAAGCCTCGCGCCGGTGTTCGGTCGTCAGTTGGTACTAGTCTCCTTTGGGTCCTAATTAACCCATACCCCTCCTTGTGTGATGCAACATTGCCTTTCAGTTCGATTGTGCATGATAATTAGAACTATATTGTCAAATCATTCATCATCAGGGTCTATTCGCTCGAGCAGGTTGTTTTCGCTTCTTTCACCAGTGGAATCTCGGCGTTCTCTCTGACTTGTGCAAAGGTGTATTCCTTGACAAGCACGCCATCTTCAAACACAGTCTCAAGAAGATCCTGTTGACAGAAAAAATGGCGATTAGCCTGTGTCGTAACTCTACAAAATGCACAAAGTTTCCTAAGTACCTTCCCTTTCTCGGTATAAACAACAATTAATTGTGGTAGAGATGATTGTCCCAGCCACGTTCATACTTACCTTCAGTCTGCCCAGTCGGCTGGTAGAGCTCTAGTCAGCCGAGCTAGAGGTACCAGGCGCTTGGCTTGAAACCCGGCGAGGGTTAAACGTATCCTTCAGGGTAAGGTCAACTTTGTACCCAGGGCTCTATCCAACTCGTCCTCTGGGAACGAGTTGAGCAGGGGTGCGGGGCCGGATGAAAGGAAGTGCTAGGGGGCCCCACAGTAACTAGCGCTAGTTGCAGTGGTGATACTGCTAAAATCCATTTAAGCTTATGAATAAAATGCCGGTTTGTTCAAAAGGAGGAGAAGGTAAATCTTTAGTTAGAGCGATTTTCGTATGACCTTGAAAAATGGTTTCGGTAAGTGTTCGTCATTTGTTTTATCAGCCAATGTTTTCCAGCCAAAGAAAACCCTAATATGGAGAAGGCATTGTTCTATTGGCCGATCGTGTTGCAGTATGACGTCAAAGCGAAGTATCGATTGATTTCTAGAAAGTTGTCGGGCATAAAGTTTTTTCAACCGAGCGTTCGCTTAACCAACCAAAAGCCACATGCGTTTCTATCCGTTCGAAAAACCAATCACATCGCCCTATTTTCGTTCGTTAGTTGTTTCTGTTTTGTTTGCGCGTTTTCATTTCAAGGTCATACGAAAATCGCTCTATCAGCTGTCTACTAGAGAGCGTTAAAGTCGGTAGATAACGCCACCCACCATATAAAGGCAAAACTAACCTTCTCCGCGTTGCCTCGTCCCTCTTCAATTGTTATGTACTTGCCCTTTTCATCCTTCTCAAGGGACAACAATCCCTTCTTGGAATGCTTTGATGAGTCAGTGATGGGCTGTTTGTAAACGTTTACCTGTAGACAGAAGTATGGCCATGTTGAGATTGACAATGACAAACACTTGGGTCTATCCCAGAGCACACCACAACATATTTACAAACGCAACCACGAACAGAAACACAACTTACTGGTTTGTCATTTATAACAGCAAAGCAACACTTGTAAGCACACTTCTGCGTGTCGCGATCCATTTTTTGAAGCAGCGCCCCTGAAAGACGAGAACGATTTCGCATCAGTTTATTACTTTATGGTAGCGGAGAGGACGTCTAATTTTAACCGACCTTGACGATGAAGGACAGGGTACACTGTATCAAAATGGCGTGAAAATATTACTACCGACCTATAACAGAGAGCAGGCGCACTGTGCTCTGACAGAGCCCAGTGGCCCCTGGCATCTTACTTTTGCTCATCTTGGGCGACTAGGCTATCTTGGTTCTCTTTTTTTCTAACACAAATCATATACTAGGAAACCTGGATTACTCAGGGTAAGAGCAGGTCATGCCCCCCCTTTTTTTTTGTTAGAGCACAGCCTTGTAGAGCAAAGCGAGTGTCCATAATAACCCCTTTGCGCAAGGAAACCTCTGCCATAAAACGTCGAAGGCTTGAACCTTTGGTGAAGGTTTTTAAAACCTACACACGTGGAAGTTACTTCAAAAAATAAGCGGCAGTTATTTTCTCCTTGGGCGTCGTATAACTTGCGTGCAAGACACTTTTCATGGGCGGATTCCCGCGACACCAAACCATCCCGCAGAACGAGAGAAAAAAGCTCTGGTGCCCAGGGAACGTGTCTTAAGTAAGCAGCAGAAAACTGTGCAAAATTTGGCTCAACGTGAAGAAGAAAAATCATCAGCATTTGCAAAATGCGAACACAATTCACGCACACCTCCACTTCCAAATGCGATATTGTCAGCACTCCACTTATGCCTCTTCATGTTTTCTAAAATCTCTGATAGAGTCTCATAACTTATACCGTCTCCCTACAAATGAAACGAAAAACAAACAAAATTGCATGTCTGTGTTAGCCTGTACACAAACGTTATTTTCATTTTCTTTTCGAAAATCGACGAGAACGCGAGCGAAGCGAGTGGGCGAGAGCGAGCGCGGAGCATAACATATATTTCCCCACCCCACCGTCTTGCGCTAACGGTTAATAAATCCCACGCAGTTTTTACTTTCGTACGCGCGCTCGACGATCTCTAAAGAGGAAATAGAGGGTTGTGACATGCTATGTCTTTGATTACGCCTCCAAACATCACTATATCCATAGCACATAGCACTGTTAATGTACCTGAAAAATACTTTTTCGACTCGCACGCAAGAGTAGCCTCCCCCGCAGGCGTTTTTAGGGGAGATCGTATTTCTCCCCTCCCCACAAATAAAAAACGCCTGCGGGGGAGGCTAACGCAACAGGGCCGGCTCAGTGCTTTCCCCAAAGAATTTAGGCCGGTGGAAGTTGGATGATTCACTATTCAGCATGTCGCATGGGGTGATTTGGCCCAAATGATCAGGATGATGTTGGATGAAAACTCTCAACATGCTGAACCCGATCTATTGTCATCCGTCTACATCCAACACCGTCCAACAAGGCATTCAAACGGATCTAACATGTTACTTGACCCAACAATGGTGGATTAGACTAGAACCGACAACATGTTGGATCCGTTTTCTTTTGATTCGTTTAAATAGCCTGTGATTTCACACAAAAGCTGCTCTTTTACTAAGAATAAAATCAAAATCAAAATAGCAAATTTAAGGATTTTTTCTTACTTGAATTATTCTGAGGTAAGGAGGCAGTAGATGGAATCCTTTAGAGTTTTTCTCGCTACCAAACTTCCGACCTGAAAGATTTATGAACCCCGCATTTTAGCTTTGAGGTTAAGAGGTTATTGCGTTTCACACTCTGTGTATACCTAAAGGAAATTGATTATTTATAATTCTGATAATTTCCATTCTAATAGTCTTTTTCTAAGCCAGTGAGCAAAATTAGCGAGCGTGGGTGAAAACCAGTGGCGGATCCAACCTTCAGATAAGGAGGAGGGGGGCGGTCATCCAGAAAGGCCCCCTTCAGTTTTTTTTTTTTTGCTAGAACGGACGGGCCTCAGTTTGGTCGAAAAATAAGGGGGCTCACCCCCATCCCCCCCCCCTCGGGCCTCTTCCCTGAATCCGCTACTGCAAATGACTACCGACGAGGCAGGTGACACGCCAAGGAAGCAAGAAAATGAGGGTGGAAGGAAGAGTGTAATTTAGACCCACTTTAGGTGTCATGGGAGGGGGAAAATTCTAAAATACGCTTAAAATCTCTTTCCCTTCCTCTCCCTCCAGAAATGCCTGATACTCAGGCTATGATAATAAGGGAACCTCTGTTTCTCTTTCTCGTGTGTGGGTGGTTGGAAATTTTGACGCGCGCTCGCGTCTTTTTCGCTCATTACTCTGTTACCCCAGGCAGGATAAGGGGACTATCCGAAGCGAGTACATTCCCAAAATCAATGATGAAGTGTTTAATCTAGACCACTGAAGTTCGCATTCGGTAGACAAACGGAGGGCCATAAAATTTTGTGGATCTTGCTATTCTTGTAACAGTATTCAAACCTAGCATAACATAAATTTTCATTGGAATATTAACCAGCACCTTTCAACGTGCATCAATAAAAAACTGTAATTAAAATACAGCCTTTAAAGCAACTAAAATCTAGATAAATATTTTCTGGCTTTCTGACCTGGTGAAAAGAGAAAAATAATAACTACGACTGAAATTTAAGAAAGTTAAAAGTTTTAAATTAACTTCTTCAATAAATGAATTCCACCCAAACGGCATTCGGTAGGTATGCTCACTTACCCAAAATATTCAAAACTTTTACCACAACGTCCGGAGGGTTACCAGAATCAGGCCGAATGACAAGTACACCTGCAAATGTACAAAAAAAAAATAAGAGTTGGTTTCTCAGAAGACGTTCATACATAAACAACTGTTCAAATATGTCTGAATAATAAACCAAGGGATGGAATGGACAGTATGCCAACTAAAGAGCAAGTTACTAAGTCAAATTTTGAACTAGTTGACGGGCGTTTATTACATTGTAATCAGTCTCTTTTTTTCTTCAAAGTAGTGGAGTTGCATACATAACACATGAGCGCTAAAGTTGCAAGATGTGACAGAGGTGAGGGTGTCAGCTGGAGCACCCTCTGTCACACGCCCGTCCTTTTTTTTCTGTCAGTCATTTCACTTAATGAACTAAGATATAAGAGGAACTGCTCGAAGTAAGGGCTTTTACTTAAGTGAGAGAGCTTGATTAGAAATTTATAAATTATCCAATTAGTATAATTTTTTCACGTTCAATATTTTAAAATTCAAACATGACTCTGGCTTGGTTTTCTTTGCGCTCAAATCTCTTCAGGGAATTGCGAGACAATGGAGTCCTAAAAAATTTGCAATTTTGTTCCTAAATCAAATGTGGGCTACTGTTTTCTAGACTAAGCTTGGGTAACCTGCAATCAAGCCCTCCATTTTTTAAAATTCTTGCAACTCCCTCAAATGGAGAGCTTGCTTGCAGGCTTAAGCTAAAGCAGGTTAGGTGCTCTAGTTGCACATTAACTATGTTGTCTCATATAATCAAATTGTACATGTGATTAGAGTTTCCTACCTTTGTTGTTTTTTCCACGGTCAATTACTAGTTGTTTCAAATCTTCTCCCCAGTATTTCTCACAGGCATCCCTATAATACATTAGGTACAAAAATTATTTCCAACAATAGATTTCCAAATTTAAGGTCATACAAATTTGCCTTAAACTGAATTTTAATTAAATGTTTTGGTCTAAATAAGAACATTGTCAAAGGCATTCCAAAAGACACACAACTCTGAAAATAACTCCATGTGAAGGTACCACTTGCTTGCAACAATAAATGAATGCCAAATAAAGTGGAAATCATTGGGAAAATGTTAAACAGTATGTTTTCTTACCCCCCTCCCCCCCCCCCAAAAAAAGCAAATTTGGTTAGTTTGGCACACACTGGAAATTTTGCCAAATATCTAAGTGGTGTTTTGCATGGAGCCCTTCAATATTATTATCAGTTACCTAGCTTTTGCTAGGTACAGAATAGCTTTATAAAAATCAAACTTCACTCACCAGATGTTATAGCTATCACTGACACAAGCAACCAGGCCTGTGGGAAACTAAAGGGCAAGTACAACAAAAAGATCATTTCACTGAGGGATAGGAGATGTTTCTAAAAATTCACCACCAACCATTTGACAAAAAGTATTCAGTGGCCTTGAAAATATAAAATTCTCTATTCATTTGGTAAAATTTTTGAGGAGCACTTTTCAGTGCATATTTTAACTTAGTTTTTACTACAAGCTGACATCTACTGGTCATGGGGTGGGTTAGGAAGTAAAGTTCCCCTGTATGGCAATGGCACCAGTTTTTCCTAACTTACAGCCAGTGGCAAAAGAAAGGTCAGATCATACCCAGCATGTGAAGCTGCACTTGACTGCCACTCCAATCCATGTTTTATCCCACCTCCAACCACCCAAGACCAATGACAGCACAAATCAGAGAGTCCACTACCCTAAACCCTACATTGCCAATGCTTTTCAAACATTGTCACTGGTTCTTTGACCTCCTGTGTAAGAATGAACAATGAAGGAGACAAGGCCAATGGTATAATGTCACCACCCAATGACTTGATCATCTGAGGGGTTTTAATCACAGCTAGCATGATCTCATCAGTGCAATTCAGCATCATAATATCAACCCAGTAACCCAATCTCATGTACAAACTAAAACTTTACCAAGAGATCAGCAGATTTATATGGTGAAAGTAGGGTAGTAGTTAGGTAGCAGTAACATGGGGATGTAACTCCCTTAACAACCAATAACCAGATTTCGGAGATCAAGATGGAGGTATATGACATCAAACTGGTTTACCGTAAGGGTGGATTACCACTCCTGCGCAATTTTTAAGTGCTTACACATGTAACATTTTTGCACCTAAATAAAATAGAGATGATGTATAAAAGGCTAATCGTAAACATAGAAGTTCACTGAGGTTCACCTTTAACATTTACACACGACCTTCCTTACATTGCCTCGATTTTATTTACGCATGTAAAAAAATTATGCAACCATGGAAATCCACTTTTAGAACAAATTTATTACATGAATATCTTCAAGAATAGTAATTTTTTATTATCATTATTATTTATTAAACACACCTGTTCCAACATATTCTGAAATGCTTCTTTTTCTCCTTCTTTTCCCCAGGTCGTAATAGTACTGTATTCAGTAAAGAAACATATGTAATTCATTATAAAAATTAATAACCAATTAGATATTATATTAATATATTAAAAACTCAAATCTTTACTCTTTAAAAAGTGCACCTGTGCTCAGCGGCTGGGATTGAGAAACCAGCAATTTCACATCCATAATAATTCCTGAAAAAGAATTGATAATGTTTATGACCCTCGTCAATTAGACTAGAACAGAAAGAGTTTGTAAACCTCTTTTTTGCAAAAGCACTTAAACTACAATCCTGCTGGACAAAAGTCTTGGGATATTTCTGGGTCATTTTCCAATTCACACAGGTCCAACCCCTCCCCTCACCCCACAAACAATGTTGAACGTGTGTATCCGGAATTTTTTGCGAGTTTCAACTTTGTATAGGGTGGGGGGAAGGAGAACTGCAAGAAAATTTCACAAAGGATGCACTGTTTTATGAGGGCACCAAGAAATGACAGAAAAACATGAATACTGCAGTACTGTCCCAAGGACTTTTGTCCATGATTGTAGTGTTAGGATTGCATGGCACATAATCACCTATAGTAAATTTAAGTGGTCAATATTATAGTACAGTTCTACTATGTTACATGTATGTATTCACAAATAGTTAGCCTTCTGTCAATAATTTGTGCACACTTGAGCACCAGAAATAAATTAAAACCAAGTACAAGAGAAATTAAACGACTGTTGAACTGGAGTAAGTTTCTACGAGGTTCAGCGGTTGGCCTAGTTCACCGGGGGTCACTGTATACTCATCACTAGCAGAACAATCAAAACTACGTAATGCCTAGGAAAAAAACCGCACCTGGCTAAAACCATGCCTGCCACAGTGTCAGTCCCACAGAAATTGACAAGATGAGCTGCCCCACCCAGAGATGCTGACTGAAAAAAAAGAGACAGAGTCAGAGACAGAGAGTTTAGGTGACTGGCATGGACAAAGGACACAAAACTTCACTTTATTAAAATTACTATTTATCATCAAATTGGAACTGCATAGTGCCGCACAAGATCCCTGACCGCAAATGATCCCTTAAAAGGTACAGGAATGGAATGGATTTTAGGCATAGATCGATGGTGAATGGTGTTGGGCACTTGACCAATGCATAAAACAAAGAAATGGATATTAAAACGATAAATGACTGTTCTGCTTCTGATTAGGCTATTGGTTTTCTTTCTTTTTAGCATTGATGTTTTTTTGCTGTGAACATTTAAGACAGGGAGGACATCGCTAAGCAGGAAACTCATTTTCTATTTTTAACACAGAGGAATACGGAAATATGACCCCATATGAATTTATCTCTCTCGACAGGTTCCCGCAGTTGCGAAATACTAGCAACTACAGCTCATGAAAATGTCACGACTAGCTGTAAGGAAGATGTCAGCACTACACATGCTAGTCTAGCATGTGTATGTTGTGGTTCAAATTTCATCTTTGGTTTGAATTTTTCAAACCGGCTTAAATTTTTCAAACTGGTAAGTAATTTTTTGTGCCTACATCAGAATTCCCCAAAGGGGGAGCACACTAGAGCAAATTTTTATTTGGGGTCAGTTTCAGATACTTTCACCATATCAAAAATAATCTGGTAGCTTGGGGAATTGGAACTGTCTGAGAAATGTCATCTATGTCAACTACAGCATGTTGGAGTTTTGTTCAGTTTAGCCTAAATGTTTGCAGTCGGGGATAATTTCCATTTGGGGATCATTTGCGGGTAAAGGATCATTAATTTTGTGGTCGGGGATCTGAAATGCGGTCGCAAGTCTCTCTGCGGAGAAAGAAGGAGGAGGAGGTATGGCTACAGGTACATCTAGTAGACTATTATTTTAACTCAGAAATAAAGGAAAATAATTTATTTATTGCCTTTTATCGATGTCACATTTTCTTGAAAAAGTGGAAAAAGGGTAGGGTGAGAGAGTGACACTTAGAATTGCCTTCTGAACTCAACTGCCAAGCTGCCTTGTTTTATATCCCAGCTATCTACATGAAAACGTTTTACGTGAGAACCATGCATACCATAATTATTAGATATTAAGTAATCGTGCACTTTAAATAACAGAACTGAAAATGCTATGTTTTTTTTTTCTAAAATGAGAATCACAATGTAATATATTAGCAACAATATTCTAACCTCAACTGATGTGCTCCCGCGGAAACCAAAGTCGTGAAGTTTAAATGGAAGTCCATCTAAATTTTCAGCTGTTTCAACAAGGTACTGAAGATTTAAGTGAATGACTGTGTGTTACATCACTGAAAGCAAATTATTGTAGCCAGATGGTTTGAACCCAAGGGCAGGGCTGTCATTAAGGGCCGGGGGCCGGGAATTTTCCCTGGCTATTTAAAGAACTTGACCCCTACCTAGTTTTGTAAGAAAATAGAAGAAAAATAGAACCTAACAAAATCCCTAGTTATTGGATTCCTCATCTACTTATTCCAGCAACTTGAAAGTTTAATGACAGCCCTGCAAGGGTCAATATAACAAGGTTAAAATAAAAATCAATATTATGATAATTTATACGTAAGAGAAGTACAGTGCGGAACCTCTGTTCAGGGGACACCCTCAGGACCAAGGAAAGTGTCCCTTGAATGGAGGTTGGGCTGGGGTTTGTTACTAGTCAACTACCAAATAAAATATTTTTATTAGAGCCTAAAAAGTGGTCTCCTCTTGCAGGCTACAGAATCTGCTGCAGTCATTATTTGAAGCAGCTTGATAATGTATAAAAAATCTATGCAATGTTGTGTGTTGAATTCCAACAAGTGCAGTACATCCATTTAAGTGAGTAAATTCATATTCTGAAAGGTGTCACCATTGTGTCTAGTGAACACTTTTTGTGGCCAGTCACGTTTTGATTGCTTATTAGGTGTCCCTTGAATGGAGGTTAAACCCGGGTTTCAGGACCCAGAAAAAGTGTCCCTTTCCCCTGATTAGCAGTGTCCCTTCAGTGGAGGTAACAAATATAAAGATTATGTGAACATTTTTCAGGGACAAAATTTTGTGTCCCCTGAATGGAGGTGTCCTAAAGGGGAGGTTTCACTGTACTCAAAAACTGTTGGTGCAGATGTTGTTGATCAATGTACACTACAAGCTAAATTTTGGAATTTGTCTTCTTTATTTTATTCAGGCCTGCTATGATTTAAGAAAGGGTTTTATGAAACGGTTTTAATGCCTTCTTTCCATTATACCTTGTTAGTTTTCACCCTGTACATCAAAAACTGTTTTGGTGCAGATGTTGTTGATATCAATGTACTTATCCTGCCTCAAAGCTAAATTTTGGAAGTTTTTGTGCAACTTCTTATTCAGGAAATGTAATAATGTTTGAAAACAGGGTATTTTAGCAATGTAAGCAATAAATTGTCAGTATTGTTTTGAATGTTGTAAATTCTTTCCATTAGTGTTCAATATTGTAATTATTGGGTTAAGTAAAGCAAATAAAAAAATTAAAAAAAAAAAAAAAAAATACTACCCAGCTGATGTATGAAAGGACTGTGGCAAAGAGATTTAATATTGAGAACACATATGGTATTATTTTTTTTGGCTGTTTAGAGTTAGACTGAATGAATTAACCTGCTAAAGAGAAATTTATTGGAAGGATTTTAGCACACGTTTGTAGGAGCAAATGATAACTTTTATACCCTTTGGTACAAAAAGTACATGTGATCTTACTAGCACTTACCTCAGCTATAATTTGCTTTTGTGCTCTTGAATTTGTAGCCACTGTCATTGGGTACCAGCTCTGAACAAGTAACGTCTGTAAAATAAAGCAAGGAATGAATGTATTACATACTCCCTGTGAAGTTAATAATCTTTTTTTCATTTATTACTAGTTACTAGTTCATATTTTTTACGTGATTTATTAAGCCTCAAACTTGAATAACTGCATATGAAAGTAATCAATGCCTCCAAAATGTACTGCACTGTTACAATGCAAGTTACATATCAAGTGTCATGGTGCTATTTCAAGTGATGTAATTCAAGAAAGTGCAGCAGATATCTCACCTCAACCCAGTTTGTTAGCCAGGGACACTGTGGATCTGTGTTTTGAACCGTAAACAAGACTAGAAAACACAAGAAAATACAGTATTACAAAACAATAATTAATAATAATTATCAACAAGAAAAAACAATGGGTAGGGAGACTAAGCAAGTCAATTGAAGCATAGGTTTGAGCATATTATTCTTCATCTCACCATTTTTCACAGGAACCACTGACCCTTCTGGCACAGCCCTAATCCTGAGTGGCAATTTTCCACCATGGGCTTTCAAAATATACAGCCATCCTTGAACAAAACAGTTAAAGTGACTTGGGATTAATACCTCACAGTATGACTTTCTGCAGATTTTAAGTTGGACTTGAAAACTTTGTTGAGAACTAGTATAATAACTGTAACCATGTACTAGGCAACTAAATTATTATTATTAATTGGCAGGGTTCTGCAGAAAATTTAAAGAAGAAGGAGAAAAAAGTTATGTAGGCAGTAATACATTACGTGGAGTTGGGGTAGGTGTGGAAAGGGTTAGGGTTAGGGGGACTCCCCAGGGACAATTTTAAGACTTATTTTTTTTCTTAAGAGAGAACTTAGTGCATTTTGAGCTACCAGATGGGCAAGAATTTTATCCTTTCTTATTATCATGCTTGCTTTTATCAAACAAATATAGGTACAGATTAATTTTCCAAGGTCCTTACAAAAAATTATTTCATACGAATCGCTGGGTTCTCATGTTGACTTTTTCTTCGTATGTTTATCTGACACCAACATAGCTTTGTTCGGGGCCACTTTCACCCCACACCCAGGAGTCTAAAATTGCTACCAGCTGGTTGCCAATGCGACTCAAAATTTAGTTTTGGCGACCAGAAATTCAAGGCTATAGTCGCCAGCAAGTGACTAACATTTGCTGCCTTGTCAATATGTTTTGAAGCAGCATTCAAGGAATTAATTTTGTTTTAGATGGAAAAACTTCACATTTTAATCTACATAGAAAATAATTTAGATCAAAAACAAAGGTAAGGTTGAAAATCTAAAAAGCATCGACTGTGTGAGGATGAACAAAATCACCGACATTTTGAAGTGACCTGGTAGGAGGAAGATGGCAGATAGCTTTGTGCGTAACGGCATGCTTGCCAAGGCTTTTGTTCAGTCTCCAAACTAAGAGAGCTATGTAAATAAAAGCAGAAAGTCCTCTTCAACTAAAATGCCTATAGCTACACGATCATTTTAATACCTATTTTTTACATGGCAGTCTGACTTTTGCATTTCTGAAGATAATATCTTAAGCGAAAAAACGTTTTTAACTTTATTTTTTGTGTGTGTTTCAATTCTATCACCAGAGGTTTGGGGAAAAAAATTCTTAATACACAAACCAAATAACCCATACCCCCCCCCCTCAAAAGTCAAATTGGCCACTTACGAAGAAGCCATCAATATCCCCATCCCTTACAGTCAAGCCAGGTCAACCATACCCCTCCAAGCCCAAGATTACATTAATTAATATATTATTCAAAAGTTGAATACGTTTGTAGTTGTAGATTTCAGATTCATCTCTGCATTCCCTTCTATTTTTTTTTTTAATGCTTCCCTGATCTCTTTGAAGAAATTTTATCCATTGAAATATTTTCAATCTGACCAAATACAGAGAAGTTATCATGAAATATTCAGTACTCATTACGCATTTTGAATTTGACACTAGTTACAGGAACTTTAGACTAACAGATTCATTTTTCAAATAATCAATTCACCAATAGAATCCTGGAGGGTACGCTCGACCTGCCTTGACTGTGAAGTCAAGTAGCTGTCGAAGGTCAAAATAAAATTCAGTTTAAAATGGTTTCAGCCTAGTTTGATTTTCAATTTTCTTGTTTTGTTTCTTATCACTAATTATTCATGGCTAGGAGACAAAGGAAACTGGGAATCAAACTCTAGTAATTAAGTTGAAACCATATTAAAGTCAATTTTTCATTTCAACTTACAACACATTAAGTATTGGCAGGTGTGCAAAGAGTGAAAAAAAAATAATCATTGCAGAGATGTTACCAAGTGGCACTGACCTGCCTCATTAAAAAGACTATACCCAAAATGAAGCTTGTAAAAATCTTTTGCCTGTCGAATTTTTTCCTCGGTTACAACTTGACCAACCAGCCACCTCTAAGAAATAACAAAAAAACTGCTAACTCCAGGACTTCTGCAAGTTACATACTTTTTCCTCTTAAGAAAGCCTGATGTGGGCTATCACCTGTCAAACTCATGAGTAAAACAAAGAACTGGTAGTGGGATCACAGGGTGCAAGACAATAGTTAGGTTACAGAGAAAGCGTAAGGGTAAAATAAAATCAAAAATAAACTAAATTCAAATGGAGAAAAATGCTCATTTTGGTCAAACTGCTTGCAAAATACATTATTATAATTTATGCATTAGGTTGGTACATGAAAAGTTCGGAGTCTATCAAAACCGTTCCAAAGTCATTCCACAGTCGAAATTCCCCGCCGGGCTAGGCGTGGAGAACGGCTGAGCCATTCCAAATTAATAGGCGTTCCTAATTGATTCAGACACCGAACTTTTCATGTACTTAATTCAATGTAAATTAGGTTCGACTCATAAAAAGATCGCCGTCTGAAGCGGGTCTAATAAACACTGACAACACACTGATCCCTGCACTGATCTCGACTGAACAAAGTGCATCTGATCTAGCTATAAGCCAAGGTTACCGATCGAAGTAGCCACATTTTGTCAATTAAGCTTATAATTACACGCACCCGAAGTTAAGGCTTAATTTGGTCCCGGCATTTGTTTTAATTCGTGCCCATTATTCTTTAACAAAGGGCTGAAAGGGTTTTATTCCTTTTTCCTGACAGGCGTGTACTTCGACCCTAACCCGCGAATGCGAATGTTATCCCGCAAATAAATGACTAACGGACTTCTTTATAACTTCTCTTTCAGAGCAGGCCATTTAATTTAAGCTTATAATCGACAAAACATTGAATTGTTTGTTCCTAGAAACGAAAGTGAAAGTAGACCACACCTACCTTGATTAAGTACTGCAGACCAAAGAAACAGACTTCTGGAAATTTCCCTCCTCTACTTTCAAAGTAAGAAAATACAATGGTTGTCCCTGATGGATATTGTTTATGATGTGAGACCTGTTTGTAAGAAAAGGTCAGCATATTACAAAGTAGTAGCTTTATGGAGCCTTAAACAGCTATAAAGAGGAAGCGCCATGAACGTTGAAAAGTGGCTTACACTGAGTTGAATCAAATTAGTTTGCAAAAGAGTACAACACTAAGCGATCAAACATTCATTCTAATCTACAGAAATTACCATCTTACTTTATAAGAGTCTGTGATCAATAATATGTTCTCCGCGTCTAATTTTTCCGCCATTTCAGAAACTTTGAGAAGTGACTTGGTTTCAGGCCCTTCCGTAAACATCGATCGAGCGGTCGAAAAGAATGCGTATTGTGTGACGTCCTCTGGGAAAACGACGTGGAAGGTTGTGCTTCGGGTTTGTGTTTTCCATACAAATCCTTGTAATTTCGAAATTTTCAAAACTTTCATCAATTATTTCCTTAAGCATTACAGGGCTCAAATCTCCTTTTAATTCATAACAGGTAATTTGAGCCCTTACATGCGTAAAGGAAAGATTTAACGACAGTTTAAAAATTTTAGAATTTTAGGATTTGTATGGCAAACCATGCAAGCGTGACTGGGTGGTTGTTGTTGTTCTCATACAAATGCTTCTAACTTTTGGCGGCCGTTACAATCGCTACTTTTCAGATACATAGCTGAAAATTCTCAGGTTACTTAATTTTAATCTGCTCTTTCAGCTTGTACTAACAAAAGTTTTCAAAAGTGAATAGCCTGCGAACAATCTCCTATTTGAGCGAGCGAAGTAAACCGCGCGAGAACGCGCGAGCGAGCGGCAAAGCCGCGAAGGGCTGAGTAACCTGAGATCAGGCCCAATTTGAGCGGTTCTCATACATTCTCTCTAACGGCTAAAGTGAAACGAAAATAGAGCCTGATCTCAGGTTAAGGGCCGAGGAATTCTCTCCCCCACCCCCTGCTTTATCGTCTCCTCTCGCATGCCTCTCGCGCGTCTACTTTTCACGATATCCCCAAATGGAGAGCTTGCTCGCAAGCTAAAAAGTGAACTGTTTTCATGTTTACCGTAAGTTGATCACGTGATCAAGTCATTTAAAGAGCCTATTCATATTTCAAAGACAGTGCATTCATCACAGCAGTTAAAAAGAATGCTAAGTTCTACACTAGCTATAATACAAATACTAGATATATGAAAGGGGTACCTTTTCCGTCAAAAATAGTGTGTGAAAGGGTAATAAGGGGTTGGACCTCGGGGCGAAGCTTCCCCGTATAAAACTTTGTTGAGTATCCCCACCCCGGGCGCAAAGAACTCTGAGAAGGAGGAAGTACGACGTGAACTATTGCCGAGAAAGTGCTGTTTTCGAGTAGCCTGAGATCAGGCTCAATTTTCGTTTCGCTTTGTGAATAACATTCCGGCGGGCAAGGCGAAACGAAAACAGAGCGGTAGCGGTAGCCGTTAGAGGGAATGTATGAGAACCGCTAAAATTGGGCCTGATCTCAGGTTAGTTCTCGGGAGACTCGCTCATTCTTCGCACGGGAAACGGGGCAAGAGAGAACTCCTAGGGGACTAGGCTGAGGATCCTCTCGGCCAACCGCTACTTGTTTCAGTTCCATGTCCTTGCAAGAGAAATTAATTTCTCTTCTGCGTTGCCGTTCATTCTGTACCAGATAGATTTTTGTCTCGTTACTAAAAGCTATCTGGTATTAATAAAATCCAGCTAGTGGTCTATTATCAATGCTGCGTTCTGATTGTTTGAGCTACTACTAGGCTCTAAGTTATAGCCCACTGGTAGCGAAAAGCGCCGGATTTTTGGCGGCAAAAAAAAGGATTAAAGTCTTACTTTAACTAGCTAAAGTTGTTTTGTCTCGATATTTTTGACCGACTAGTTGGATTTTACTAAAACAATAAATTATTCCTCTCGCCCTCATGGCCTCTGAGTCAATAGCTATTGACTCAGACGCCATTCGGGCTCGAGGAACAATGGTTAAAAAGTGAGAACATATCCTAAGGGCCAAAAGAGAGAAGTGTGACGTCACGTTACCATGGTAGCAACATTTCTGCATCACAACAATGGGGAGCTTAAGCAACAACGACGTCGACGGCAACAAGAACGGCAAAAAAGCAATCGGTTTATATTAGCAAAGCAACAACTTTGCACGTGCATCATGCTTTTTTGTACATTTCTTTGCCGTCGTTGCAAGTCTGCGACTGGAGTTGGTAAAACACAGCACAAGAATTTTCTTTAATCTCGGATTCAACCCCTGACAATTTCGCAAAGATGTTCCAAATTAAATGAAATTTAATAAGATCGATGAAGTTTGAAACAGTGCAAATTCACTTTTTAAGTGACGTTTTCCGCTTTGTTGCCATCCAGAAATTTTGCTACCATGGCAACGTGACGTCAAAGACTTCTCCTCTCTATTATCATGAAGACAAAAAAATAATGAATTTGCCTCCATTTAGGACTGAAGTGTACCAAATACCCAATATAGTTTCGATATAGTTCATTCAAGTATATTACAAATAACCATGAATTAGTTTAGGTGAGAGACAGGCAGAAAAAGTCTTCTCTACAATGAAAGGTAAAACGAAATGCCAGTAAGCAGAACCTTAATATTTCGCTGGAATCTCAAACATTCCGAACAGTTTTCCTCTTCCTTTCCAAACGTAAAATATAAAAAAACGTAGAGAGCATAACCTAAATTTGTCATTCTCTCTCGGGTAGGTGTGTGTCTGCGGGAGCGACTTTCGCGGCGCCCTTTTATGGCTTTTGACAAGAGAGAATTAAAAAAGTCTGGCACAATTCCAACTTTTATTTAAACATTATTAAATATAACTTAGCCTACACAGTGTGAAAACGGTGTGATATGATACACACTTTACATTAAAATAACTTACGCAATCTCGAACTTTTGCAAAAGTTGGGTCAACAGCCTAACTAAAATGACTCAAAAGGAACTTTAATGTTGAAAACATTTAGTTTCAACCTGACGGGAGAATAAAACATCATTCGTTCTGAAGGGAAAAGAAACATAGCCATATCATTAACCTGAGACCAGGCCCAACTTTATCAACTCTCCTACATGAGGCTGTCTTACGTGGTCGCGTTAAAATCGCCTCATTGCCCGCCGGAATTGCATTTGCCAAGTGAAACGAAAATGAGGACTGATCTCAGGTTACCATGGCCACTAAAAGACGCGAAGTAAGGATTGGAGCAATTAATGTTTGCTTCAAGCCATTTCAATCCAGGTCACCCCCTTCCACAAACACACATCAACAGTTTTAAGTGCAATAGCGCACTTACTACTAGCAAGACAATTCTATTAGACAAGTTATTGTACGATTGCCTCTTGACTTTTCACGCGATACTAAATACAGGTGAACTAACTCACCCTTTTTAAAAAACACTCATTTTATAGTGCATATCAGTACAACTTGAAATACCTTACATAAGGTATAAAACACTACCTCTTACTATGTTAAAAAGCTTTTTCTGATTTTGATTCCTAAAAGTTTACCTGTTAGAAAGTACAGTTTCAAAGCTACAATAAACAAAGAAGAAAGTTACATAGCTTAATTAAAAATAGTTTCAATGAAATGGAATATGCTTTGCACATCCATAAACTTCAACTTCAAATACCATGAAATATACATTAAAACGTCCTTTCGAACACTAAGATCACTCACATTCATTAAAATGTGAAGGGTTTTGATAAGCCCGGTGAATTCTCTCCAAATGGCAAGAAATTTAAAAGCTTTCCTTTTATCCCAATTTAAACTTCGCTTAAAAAAACCATCCCTCGTAGAAAACTGAAAAACATCACAATATCGGCCTTTGTTGGCTCGTGCGCGTTCCACTGGCCGTATCCAGGCAAAAGAGTGAACATGTTATGTATATTATAAGTTTTTTTTTTTTCAGATAAGTCCTATAATTTTGGCTTTACGTAAATGCTTCATAGATCGCTGTACATCTGAATATTGTGTATCAAACACAAGAGATGTTACAATGGTTAGCGTTGTTTGAATAACTACAGCGATTCTGGAATTAATCAGCCTGATTACAGAGAAACTGGGTGCCTTGCATGAGTCCACATAGTATAGCTGTCTGATAAGTACAGCTTCCACCATTTTACAGAAAATATGGGAAGTAAAGGTTTGACTCACTGACGCTCATGTCCACATTACAACAGTTTTCACTGTATTCTCATTCTGCAATTCGGCTAATCGAACGCGCACTTGTTAGTAAACCATTTTCTCTATAAAAGTGCTAAGAATCATTTTTGTCGACTCCTCCGATAGAATACAAACAGAGGAAAGTAGCGCAAAATTCAATAAAATAACGATGAAAATTGTATGTACAGTTATTTCGACCAGCGAAAATATAAATCTACACAAATAAACAGTACGGTTAGAGACTTTCTAAATACTACAAAATCGAAAGAAAAATTCCTGGGATGATTAATATGCATCACGATTAGTAAGACGTGAATGGAGAAGCCAATTCATTCGACCTCCTTGAACGGCTCTTGTTAGTTTTTTATTTTTGTTGAAACTAAACTCTTGGTATACGAACGTCACAACACAATAAACATCCCAGAAGTCTTTCCCAGTTTGAAATTATCTCTGAGCTCTGTTTTAAAAAGTATGGAGGATTTAATCTTCGTCCGACTCCTTCTTGTTTTTCTTGCCAAGGATCTTTCTCAGTGACTTAGACATGTAATAAGGCTTCTCCTGTGACCCGTCATTTCGCTCAGAATCCTCCACTGCAAACAAAACAACAAAGCTATGACGCAACTGAGCGACTTATGGTCAGTGAGCAGCACTTAGAAACCTCACTTCCTCAATTTGGTTGGTTTTGCGAGACTCCCCTTTTTTATAGTGGCTACATGAGCCTGTTCCAGGCTATCAGATACAGTGGCAGGGATGACGCGTAAGTGAAAGGCACGCGAAAATATGAGCGCGTGCCCTTCCTCTCCCCAGTTTCCTCCCGTTTCATTTTCGAGTTTGCGCTTTCAAGTTCTCAATTTCGCGCACCCGATTATCTCGGAACCTGGAACAGGTTATGGCTACATATGAATACTCATGCCACCTTCTCAAGCCAGATCGTCGGGGATCAATTCAACCCGGTATTCGTATGTGGGATCCTCTTCACTGGAATTGTACAGAGCTTATTCCAGCTGGCGCAAAATTAGCCTGCGAATACAGTCGCCTCTCATCTCTCTCTCCGGCGTTAGGACGTTCCGCGAAAAGTCTGAGCGGCGTGGAGCGATTATGAGAGGCGACTGTATTTGAACAGGAGGCTAAAGCAAAACAATTAACAACAGAACTTACAGAATGATAGGAAGATGGTGTCGATGGCCATACTGTACACGCTGAAAAATGCGCTGGCGATAACGTAAGCACCAACAGTGATGATCTGTCACGAAAAATAAAGATACCATTAGCACTGGGTCTGCGATAGGTTATACTTATCATAGCAAAACTAAACCAAGTCAAACAAACTTACAATGACTGGAGCCAGATAGTAGTTAAGATTGTCTTGTCGTTCAAACCAATAAAAGCTTCCAACGGCTGAAAAAAAATGGCGCCAAAAAAAACAACGGTCAATACATTACAAAACAACCAGGCGATGCAGCTGAGGGAGAGTCCACATTCCCAGCGCCGTTCACTTTACCCTGCGCCGCGGGAACTATTTAACAATTATTCCTCGAGCACGAATGGGCTCTGAGTCAATAGCCCATGAGGCCGAAACTTGGGCTGTTGACTGAGAGGCCATGAGGGCGAGAGAAATAATTGTTTTAGTAAACTCCAACTAGTTGGTCAAAAATATCGCGAATGAAAAAATTTTAGCTAGTTAAAGCTAGACTTTAATCCTTTTTTCCCGCCAAAAAGCGCGCGCTTTTCGCTACTAGGGGGCTGTAACGTATAGCCTAGTAGTAGCTCAACCAATCAGAACGCAGCATTGATAATAGACCACTAGTTGGATTTTACTAAAAGGGAGATAGGAGAGGTGAAGCGCGAGAAGTGAGGCGAGAGCGCAATGCAGAGAGGCAGCTGGCGTTCTCACAAATTCATAGGGAGCTTAAGCAACAACGACGGCGACGGCTATAAAAACGTCACTTAAAAAGTGAATTCGCGCTGCGTCAAACTTTACCGCGCTTATTCCATCTCGTTCAATTCGGCAAATAATGGCAAATTTTTCTGGAGTTGAATTCTAAAGGACTGTATTGAAGTTCAGGCCCCGGTTGTTCAAACGTCGGATAGCGCTATCCACCGGATAAATCACTATCCAGTGGATAGCGTAATTGATTTCCGTAATACTTATCCGCTGGATGGTGATTTCTCCGGTGGATAGCGCTATCCAACGTTTGAACAACCGGGGCCAGGACAAGAAAAAGAAAATTGCTGTGTCGTGGTCACGTCCTCCACAAAACGTGAAATTAGGACCTTTCAGGTCGTAATCGTGCAACGACCGCAAAGAAGTGTACAAAAACGCGTGATGCACGTGCAAAGTTGTTGTTTTGCTAATCTAAGGGCGCTTTCCAAAAGTCAGAACTCGTTCGCCGGATCATGGTCAGACCAGACATTTTGGCAATGAAATCGGCTTTTTCCAAGACGTTTTGCTGAAAAACCATCCCCTCTGTGCATAATATTTAGGATTTGACATATATGGATAGTTAGTTTTAATTAAAAATGAAATTCTCATTACGATGGGAATGGGCTGTGGCCGGTCAATTCTGACAAATGGAAAGCTCCCTAAACCTATTGCTTTTTTGCGGTTCTCGTTCCCGTCGCCGTCGTCGATGCTTAAACTCCCTAATATCCTACCTTCCCCTCCCTTATCTAGCATCCGCCACGCAGGCTTCAAGAAGTGCCTGAGAGTACTCTGCTTCTACTCTCCCTACCGCCAAAACGTTAGGATGTTGGTCCATCGAAGGGTTGACATTCATACCGATAAATCACTGGTACCTATTTATACATATCTGAACTGAAGTGGAAAGAGTCAATCTGGAACGCAGTATCTAGTCTAGCGAAATTACGCGATTACTTGAAAGCGCTTGTTGCTAGATCATCGCACATCAATAAACACAGCCGGGTAAAACAACATAAATGATGGCAAAACTATTTAAAAGGTAAACATGCGACTTACCCAAACCAGCCGTGATGGTCAGCTGTCCGAGGAAGAGAATGAAATCCGTCACTTTATCCAGTACAACAACCCTGAGAAAGAACAAACATCATGCGAAAACAATTTGCATATGTTCCTCCTTATCCCGCCCTATATTCATAATAAGCAAATGAAGAGCCGGGAAAGCAATGAAGGAATTTAAAACTTTAAAAGATAGACGGAGATGAGGATAACGACCAGTTATTGTCCTTCATTACTGTCGGGTATATCTTTACCATCCCTATTTTGGGGGGGATTCAGTATTCTTTGGAACTGTACGGAAACCAATATCCGTTTCATGATCAAGCGCTTTGGGGATAAGAAAAATAGGCTAGATTACCAGCCGCTGTCCGGGAACATGAGCCTGTAGAGGGTCCCCAATAGGTTTTTTGGGATCCGGGATTTCCCTCAATTGAAGCTCGGGATTCGGGATTTTGATGCAAAATGGGGGGGAGATTAGGGAATGAAAGTATGCGGGCGAGGTACGATACCAAAAATAACCATCGGATTACGGGATTGCACGAAATTTTGGGTCGGGATTGAAGGATTGAACGACCCTATTGGGGACCCTCCCTGTACTCATCCCCGTCTTTGAGCCAGTGAGGGGTAACAAAGTACGGATTCAGGAGAACAGCCGAAGTCTAGCCTAGGTGCAGACGTCTCCTGTTTCCTTTGCTGTCGCTACACGTAGGCTACGAAAATCGATCAACAGACAATCCGGGAAATTTCTTGAAATTTGACTTCTCTCGGGCAGGAGTGAATTACTATTTGGAATTCCCTTTTCGTTCGTCCTTGGGAATGTTTTGTCTTTATCATTGAGTACGCCCAAATCTAATTAATATTTGAGGTACGCTCTATAGGGAAACAAGTCGAAGATTACAATGTTAACTGTTCTAAGTTCGATAACAACGGTCGATTGGAACTGGAGGGAATTTCAAAATTTAAACAACACCAACACCAACAGTTTGACAAAAGCATTGACAAATAAATTAAAACTTAAATAATCAAAAAATTTTAACTCATATCGATAAGGACGTCAAGCTTACCTGACGATGTTCCTCATGAGAAGGAAAAAAGCATCCTTGGCAGAGACACAGAAGTTCTTCCCGTGAATGGCAATCTATTAAAGGCGTAACAATAAGCATTCCAACTCAGCTTACGGTTGGCAGTCGGTGACACATACTGGGGAGCCCCGTAGCAACAGCGGATTAGGAAAATGCGTTCCTTTGGGGTCTTATCCCATACATATTACTGCTACTGGGACGAAGAATACAGTACTACCACCCTCTAGCAGACACAAGGTGGACCCCCATCCCCCCGAAATGGTAGGAAAATGAAAAAATGGGGTCGTTATAACAGGGGTAAATAATAGTATTGGGATGTTGTCCCATTAATTTTACTGCAGCTCCGGCGAAGAATATCATTCCTTATCTACTTTTCGAACTCGGTTGGAACCCCGATTTAACAGGGAAAGGGTAAAATGCATTCCTTATAACACGAATACATAACTGTTATCGAGGTGTTATCCTCTACATTCGACTGTAACTAGGGCGAAGAATATCACTTCTTATGCACTGAAGTACTACCCCATGATCGACGTTGGTGGATGATTCCAGCAAGAAAAAACAGCCTGCGTAGCCAGCGAATGAGAAACTTGGGGCGCACATCGTTTATCTCGCGTCCCGTATTTCTTATTCGCCTGTCACGCATCCTAAGGAAAACAAGACAAAGCCAATGTAGCGGATAAGATCCTTCCTTCGATCCTGATATAACATATCCCCGTTGTACCAAATGCATTTAGCCATTTCCCTGTTATATCAGGTTTCCAGTTGGGTCTGCCAGGGAGTGGTACTACAACCAGCAAATTTCATCCCTTTACGCCGGGTGTCAATCGAGGTCTAGTAATGTATGATTAACTCTGGAGTCTTTAAAAAAAATCCTCATGGTGCGAATCCTGATTTTGGGATTATTCACCAATACTGTGGATCTTATGAGCTGAAGAGGTAACAAAAAAGGTACTGACCATAATGTAAGCATTCTTGTTGAGAAATTTCAGAAACTTCTCCAAGCACCAGAAGCAGCATTTAAGGCATCTGCAAAATAACAAGGGATTACTTAATCACAAAGCAACCTTGCGCTTGAAACAAAAAGCCTCGCTTTACTCTAGCTGTGGTACTTGTGGTGCTTACTAGTTTCACTTAAGTAAGGAGACGTTTAGCATAAAGAAAGGTGGAAGCCGCCCGTTACCCCTAGATGATAAGGATTTAGTGGAATCACAGCTAATAAAAACATGAATGCTGCTTCTGCTTACTTGACAAGGTATTTAGCGATCTGGCTTTGCTGTCCGGGTGGACCTGTTGAAAGTAACCAAACGTGTAGGTCAATACCCTGCAATACCAAAGCAATTTAGCTGAGCGCAAAGCCAACCAAACAGTAGATCGAGACCGCAGAAACGCGAGGAGAGAGGGACAATAACTACTTTCCTATGCCCCACTTCTCGTCCTCTCATCCGCCGCCTGGTCCCCCCGAGCACCCTCCCCCTTTGGAATGAACACTGTCTGAAGCCTTGCGCTCGGTAGGTTACAGTAACGCCTGCTAATCAGTAAGAAACAAGAGAAAACAGGGTGATATAGACCGCAAAAAGTCGTCCTTCTTCCCTCAGAGCTACGCTCGCCAAGTAAAATTGAGACTCAAAAGAAAAATAAGAGGCTTTCCGCAGTCTTAGAGTGATGTTACCTCCATTAAGCTTATGATCCAGGTATTCTAGACCAGCTCTGATCAGCTGCACAATGGCAATGATGAGTGATCCAAAAGCAAGTGAGCCAGTATGGTACCTAGAACATAAAAATAGGTTAAAAGAAAACAAAAAGTTGAATTCAATTACTGGCGAAAAGAGGGGTAGGTAGGTAAGAAAGCAGGTACGTATAGTCAAGTGGGTGTAGCCTGAGTATAAGGCCTTTCTTATGGGTTAGAGGAGAGACGATTTTAAATGGGGGAGAGGCTGCCAACCCTTTTCGCTTGGACTTTTCCTTCCTCACCCTCCCCCAAGAAACGCCTGATACTCAGGCTAGGTGGGTGAGTAGCAGAAAATAACACAGTAAAGGAAGAGTGGATGGATGAATGGATGAAGTGGAACAACAAACAGCAGTACCTTAACGTGCGGAAAAATGATGCTGTCACCGCAAATTTCGGAATGTCCTAATAAAAGAACAACAATAATTGCAATTAGTTATGAAGCAAATGACTGCCAGAGATTGCCTTAAATTATCACTCGCTAGAATTGGTCAGGTACACGAGCTCAAAAAAAAAAAGAAGAGCAGAAAAGAGGCGTTGGGAGTAAACACCATTTAGCATCTTAATAATAAAACTAAATTAGTCGCAGCTATATAATAACTTAAATTACCCCCCTTCACTACCATAAATAACCAAAACATAACTTGAAACATAACTCTGAAAATGCTAACAAATGGTACCACACAAAAGTACCACTTAAAAAGGATTTCGTCCACAGACCCTACAAAATGGCAACTTTATTTTCTTTTTTCGTCTTAACTAGTTTATTACAGAACTTCATTGAAGTCACTGAAGTCTTTGGGAACGCACCCTAATCCAGCACTTACAGTTTTCTTGTCCCAGGCCCAGTAGTAGGAGGCAAATGCACCGGCAAGCACACACTGGCCAAGAGCTATGATGAAATTCATGACCCAGAACCAGCCAAACAAATGGTAAACTTGCATGCGGAACAAATGTCTGTTCACAAACAGGGAATTAAAAACAAAACGGGCATCAGCCATGATGACCTGACATAGAAGGAGTTTCAAACTGAAAGGGTTTTTGGATATCCGAGATCACCTCGTTAAAGGTGGGCATTAGGGATTCTGAGGAGAAAGCTAGGGAGGCGGAATTCGGGATAGTCGTTACGAACGGAACACGCAGAATCCCACGCAAAAGTTATGAGGACTCCTGACGTTCAGGATCGCACGAGGCGCAAGCCGCGAAACTGGCGAACCAAATCTTTCGCGACTTGCTGGGAAATCTGTCATTTCGGTCTGAAAAAAGCCTAAAACGATTAACAAATGAATTTTATGGCTGTGAAAAAGTAAAGAAAACGTTCCAGTTTCCTGATTTATTCAAATTTAAAAGACAGGGAATTTACAGCAGTTAACAGGGATGCAAAGGATCTATACAAAGTATACGAAAGGGGAAACTTTTTCGGTCAAAAATGGCATATAAAACCTTAAGGGTTGGACCTCGGGGCGGAGCCTCCCCGGAAAAAAGTTTGTCAAGTACCCTACCTCCAACCCCCCCACCACACCGCCTCCGGGGGGTCGGGATGACAGTAATAAATTAATCTATCGAGTAATCTAAAGAAAGGGTGTCCTCGTCATTATTTTAGTGAACTCTGTCATCGTATAGCATAAGGGTGGAATGTTTTGTAGGGGAATTGAACCGCTACAAGAAAGTAAGAAAATCTTGCTTGGCTTGGGACAATTCCTACATGTCTTCCTGTATTGTATTATATTTTGGCTAAATAAAATTGGACTGAACTGAACTGAGCTAATAAATCCTGATGTATTTCAAAAGTTGATACTCACTCATCGCTGGTAAAATCCACAAAATTACACGTTTTGTTGCTTAAGCCAGAACTGACGCTGTCAAGTTGAGACCTTAGTTCCTATAATCAAACAAAGAAAACAGTCCCGATATAGTTTTTACTAACAACACAACGTAGCTTTAATTTTGTGTAATAAACTATACATTAACGTGGGTTCAATATGATTGTCCGAGTACGTTTCAGGGGCACTCAACGATGGTTTCCACCCAAATTCATTTAAAATACTTTTTAGGCTATCCAGAGTGTTTTTAGACCTCTAGAAATGCATTCTAAGCGGCGCTATAAAATTTGTATCTGTTCGGTCATCCTAGGACAACCTGAGTCTTTTCGAAATTACAAGGGCTTCAGTATTATTTTCCCGAAAATTTTAGATGCAATTTAGCGCATTACGAAAAAGAAATTTTTTTTTATTCCTCTCTCCATCACATTTTTGAATCCGAAAATCTAAGCTTTCCTTTTTGATACGACAAATAGCCTACCTGGGGTGTGAAATGTGAAAATCAAACTTCAGAAAATCGTAGAGAATTTAATAAATTAGCTTCGAAATTTGTACGTGAATGGAACGGTCATCTAGAAATTGTCAGCCTTCCTCAAGTAATAAAAAATTCTAGGCCATACTTGCTTCTCTGAACAGATATTTTACAGAAAACAGTCATTGGGTGCCCCTGACATTTAGCCCTTAATCTAGGAATGTAGGCGACAACGACTGACGTTACAACAGTCTGTATCAAAGTCATGATCTCCAGAGTCATCAGTACAGTCTGTCGACCTCTAGTAATAGGGCCACCCTTGGAGAAGGGGCAAGTGCAGGTTCACGTGATAGAGGTTCAGTTTAAAGTGAATTACTAACAGCTCCGTCAGCTGGGACTTTGGTAACCGGCCGCCAAAAACTGAGACGATGGCTGCTTAACAGCAAGAATGAAAGTGCTACAGAGGATAGTTTGCTACACAGCGGTTTTTAGTGTCGTCACGCAACGCTCCTCCCCACTAACGTTCGACCACAAAGACAAAGACCGGGAAAGGAATGTGGGCTTTTCTCGTGTTCTCCCAACACCCCAAGTGGGTTATCCCGGGGGGTTATCACGCCGGTAAACCCATAGAAAGTGTGGTCTAATGCTTTTATAAAATAACTTTAAAGTATATCTCAGTTTTCTACAAGATTACCGACACAATAAACCATAGGTTTTTAACCAATCAGAACGCGCGTACTTACATCATCACAAACTTGTCCATTCTGTGTATCATTGGAGACCACTTGAAACTGAGGTTCTCCCGCGGTGACAAGGAAGCTTATGTGGTGTTAAGAAAATTCTTGGAATGAAAGGTTTGAACCTAAGGCCGGGTTGTTCAAAGCTGGGTTGAGATAACCCTGGATTAGTGCGAAATATAAATTCAAATTTGAAAGATTAAAAGGCAAATTCAGTTGATTTCTTTTTGTTTACAATTTGATGATTGGAAGCTCAAAAAAGAAAATTTTGCGAGAAAATGCTCGTGTACGAAAGAAAAGGAAACCTGGATTAAAATTTAATCACAGGTTAGCACTAATCGACCTTCGAACAACTGGGTCCAGAAGTCCTTTCATATTAAGTAGGTGGAGTATGATTATCCGCGTGAGTGTTCTCCTTAACAGGCCTGTTGCTGGCATTGAATGGCGTTTCGACAACCTGTGCGGTAGTCATCTTCAGAGTCAAAGTTAGTTGTATTACGTCAGGTTTCTACAGGAATGATGTCCTGCAAAAGTCCAACGAAAACGTAGCGGGGGGGGGGGGGGGGGGGAGTAAAAGGAAACGTAGAGGGTAACAAAAGGTCAAATTTTGCTCAATACGACATTTGATTAACAGCTACATAATCAACGAGCAGCAATTTGTTGTGATTACACGCACCTCATTTCATTATTTACTTAAAGAGTTGTAACAAATAAACACTCTGGCTTCTCCACAGAGGCCTCTTTTATGACAGCATACATAACATTTTTATCGTAGGGAGCACAGGGGAAGGGAAAACTAACTACAATAATTCACATCAAGAGACAAAGGATACGCTAAAACGCCAACAAACCAGCCAAAGAGTAAGATCTGAAGCAACCACGGAATAACAGGGAAGAACAGTGCGAAGGGAACTGAAGATATAGCCCTAACAAAAACAAACAAACGAACAACAATGACACTGTTAACAATTTTGAATTCAAACAAAGAGCGGGATTATGTACACATGTATGCTGCCAAAAGTCCACGTGCAAGTCTACGTATGAATGTGCACTGCACTGTTAATGTAGGACATGAAAGGCTAAAATGCTTTCACCAAAACAAAATCCAGGTTTAAGCGACACTTTCAAGACTTAGATCGGACTGATGTGTATGTCTAACTCAATGCATGTATTAAGCCTCTTGCAAACGGACCCAACATTGTTGGATGTTATATGTTGCCTCCGTTTGCACACCCTGTTTCATGTTGTTGGGACTTGTTGCGCAAAGTTTGAAACTGGTCAAACTTTTAGCTATGCCAACAAAGTTGGGAGTTGTTGCGTCCATTTGCACGTAGGTTTTATAAATCCCTTGACATCAGATGATAATAAATGACATAGTATGATAAACAGAATATTAGGGCTGTACTCTAGCAGCGCTCAGTGGCCCGTGATGTCTAACTTTTGTTCTTGGGCAACTAGGAAATCTTAGTTTTTGCATAGAAATCACATGCTGGGCAACCTGATTTTTACAGATTCAGAGCATTGAGCTCCCTTACGATTTATATTCTTAGAGTACAGCCTCGAATATTAAAAATGTCTCCTCCATGTAAAGAAGTATACATTGACTGGGTAAGTAAAAAAAGGACAGTGATTTTCTTGTACACAATAGTAAAAAACAACACTAAAATTGGATGATGCTTCAACTTGTTAATGGTGTCCTGATGACGCCAAATCTAGATGAAGATCATGGTAAAGGTTAGATATTACAAGCTCACCTGCTGCCTTCTTTGATAATTTGAATAGCAATGGATATCCTCTTGTACAAGGCAAGAAGGATTAAAACCAAAATTCCCAGAATTACGCTAAGGATGATAGCTGTAATAAAAAAAATGAAACTTTAATATTCGTGATAAAAAGTCGCAACGACACCTTCCCCAGCGAATTAAAGAGCACAAGGGAACTGGAATAAAAAAACAACCTCAGGGATCAGCACAATGTGTCCCCAAATGACATTGTGCAGAATTTGAAAATTTTAAGAAAGTGCCAGAGCAAACTTGATTGCCTTATTTTTGAAATACTTTTTTTATCAAAGAACTGAAACCCATACTAAACAAACAGTGCGATTCCATCCGCTCAAAATTATTTGTCTAGATCGGTTTTAACTAGCCTTATTATTACTTTGCTGTCTTATTTTATTCTTTTTTTAACTGTATAAACATTTCATCACTTATCGTTGACATATTTTATCGCATTTTTTTGTTCAAAGTATTCTTACCTATTAAACCATTTTTAACCATTCGTAATATATTTATGCCACTTTTCATATTTTTATTCGCACTTGAAAATGACCTTCGAGAGGTCGAAAAGTCGTGACTTATATCAGCCTGTTGAATATAAGCATTTAGCAAACCCAAGAAGCACTGGTTTTTAAAATGCAAAAAAACTGGGAACCACTAGTTTTTGAAGCAAATATTCTATCCCGGAAGCAAGATATAGATATACACAAAAATAATGATGTTGCCTCTACAGCCAGAAAAGTTTCGTTATGCTCCTCAGGCCTTCAAAGAACAATAACTACTCTACAACAACAACTTTATTTCAGTATTCCCAGGTGAGTACGTGTACATGATATTACCTACATTATTTATTTAACTAATCCGATCTTCAATATAAAAAATACATTATACGTACTTAGCCAGAACCATGTTTTTTCACTGTTGGCAACACTGTCAAGGCCAAAGGAAACAGTCAAAAATATACTTGTAGCATTTTCCCCTTGGGTTGAAATCTCCTTGTACTTGGTCCAACTGTAGTATATAGCTGAAAAAGGATAATAAATTGTACAAAAATGCAAAGATACTACAAACAGAGAAAGAGAATCTTAGTTTATTATCACTTGAGAGCAATAAGATTAAAGGAATGAACAGCTTTCCCACACAGAACAGAGAAAAAAACAATCCTGACTTTTCACCAATTGCAACTTCTTGAACAGGCTCTCCATTCAGGGAAAAAGGGGCTAACTATCGCAAGATACAAAGGAGCCTGATTGCAGGCTCATTTAATAATAATAATTCTGATATTTACCCTTGACAGTATTTAAAGCACTGATGCTAGTGAGGCTGAGCAAATGCATGAAACAAATAATGTAAATTTTAATTCAACAATCCACTTAAGAATCCCAACAGGCCAAAGGCAAACCAGCTGGCTATTTACAAGAATGTCCGCGAATTTGAACTTGGGACAACCGTGTCCAAATCCAGCTTAAATCCATCAGGGCGAGACTTGAACTCAGCGCCTCTGAATTTCAAGTCCAGAGCTCTAACCACTCAGCTCCTGCCTCCTGCACTCACTGCCTCCAATTTTACATTATTGACTATTCTAAGTCTTTTATTTCCTTACAAAAACATAAATAGAAAGTGACCAAGTTGGGATCGTGAAAATTACCTATTTGCCCAAAAGTGACTAAGATGGGGTCTATAATTGGCCACAGAATAGACTACAATGGGCCAAGGGCTCTGAGAGACCAGCAGCACATACCCAGCAAAAGTTAGTCCAACAACACCCCCCCCCCCCTCCTCCTTCCTCACCCCCGGTGGTTTCCCTGCAAAATGATGTCTGCGGAACAAGCACAGAAATGCCATAGTGATGATGTGCCACTACCCAAATCTGAGTGGTGCCTTAGACTGGTTGAAAATTTGCTTCAACCAATAAGAAGCACTAGTAAGTGAGATCTGAGTAGTCATCATGTCATCAGTATGGAACCACTGATGGCATCCCAAAATGTCAGCTGTTCCTTCAGGGTTGGCAACCAGTGAATCACCAAGTTTTTTCCACTGACTTTCCCCTGATGATGAAAATGCATGCAGCCCTGCAGAATAATGCCATACATTATGGTATGAACTGTACTAGTACTTCATGTTTAAAGAAAGTTGAAAACAACTTACAGAATCCAAGTGCTGTCAGAATGGCATATATTGATACCCAAACAAGAAGTCCAGCAATCCACCTGAAACAAATGAGAAAACAAATGATGGAAATTATTGAAAATAAAAATAACAAAAAACATAGTTTTGCATAAATTTTGTGAACACTCAATTTCTCAAAGGGCAATTGTCAGTCCCAAGGGAAATAAAAAACAGTGTACTTATCCAACATTTGTGGGGATAACAATTTGCATAATGAGGAACATGAAAGTCGCAAACTGCTTGATGACAAAAAAATGAACCGTGATTATTTAGGTGAGGAATGACAATCAATTTACTGTAGGTGAGACTAGGTGGAAGATTACTACTGGTAGTCTAAGAGGACTATCATCTAGTACATACCTCATGACAATAATGTATAAGAATGAAGCAACCATGGCAATCCCCATAGCCCTGTTTCAGCACAAATTTACAGAAGTGAGTATTCTCTGTTAGTGACATGTATACAACAAAGTGCTATATTATCTATGGTCTGCCCTCTTAAAACCAAATAGTGCTAAGTTTGTTTGGATTTGGAACAAAGTTCACATTTTGATGCCGATTTTGTACTACAACGAAGCAGCATTTTTTTGGTATTTAGCCCTTTCACTAGTAAATAAAATATGCGCTGACCATCAACAACCCCTGCAAGCCAAACGCTTTTAAGAAAACTACTTTCAAGTACATTTTAAAATAATCCTTTTAGTATGATTGTTACTTACGCTAGAATCCAGTACCATGATTCCTGCACATCTGCTATTACCTAGCAAAAACAAGCAAAGAACAAGTTGCATGTTGTTTGACAGCAGTGAATTCCAATTGGCTCTCGATCACAAGAATTGTGTGGTAGGGCTAAAGCATTTTTTAACGACTAACCTTTTGGCCAACATTCTGCAGGTTGAGTAATGCTTGCACAGCTCTAGTTGGGAAATATTAAGAAAAGAAATGTAGGGCTAAATTGGGAATTTAGTCCATCATTGAGCATTGTGAATTACTTGCTACGAAACTTAACATTATATGATTAGACATGATTTTCATATATTCAAAACTTCATCATCATCCTTTCACGGGTTTATAACGAACCAATTCAACGAGTTGCTCCCAGTTGGCTTGCTAGCTTAATTGGTAGAGCGCTGCACCAGTATCGCAGAGGTCAAGGGTTTGAATCCGTACAAGCCTGAATTTTGTTTAGGCTTTCTTTTCAAAACTGCAAAAGTTGTGTAATACTATGTAACTGCGATGATCATCCTTCATTTAAAACTTAACATTGTCATTAAGTGAAGAAGTTTCTTCTAAATGACAGAATCACTGCATCATTGGAAATGCCTCCTAGGCATTTTATCAACTCTAGCACTAAACAACAGGGACAAGGTTTAAAGAGTGGTTAGGCTGAGCAATTTTAAAAACTCCAATTTGCAATCTGTTTCAGTCACCCCTGTTGCCTGATACGAATCCTAATAATTACTGTACTTGTTTTGTACAGCGCCATAAAATATTTTAAGAAAAATAAACAATAAATTTATGTTTTACTGCTCTGACAGACTGTTACAACTTACAGTGACCCTTCCTCAACATCAGCAGTAGATACATTTTGCCCAGATGCAGTTTGAAGGCTTGAAGTTATCGCATCTCCAACAACTGTTGGTATACAGCGATTGAGAACTGACAAAAGAGAAGAGAAATCAGTGTGGTTTTATTCAAAGCAAAATGTGCAGATTGATTTTTTTTCTCACTAATTGTAGCTCCATGTCACTTGTTTTTATTTGTAACATAATATTTATACAGTAGAATCCAGATTTTTGAATCACCTTCAGAAAAGGAAATTGGTTTGAATTATCAGGTTTGAAAACTGAGGGGGGGGAGGTAAAATTACAGTGTTTGACTGGTGAAGAGAAATCAGGTTTGGTTTGAATTATCAGGAATTTCAGAAAAACCGAAGGTTTGAGAAATCGGGAGCAAAAGAGCTTTTTCTAGAGATACACGTAATATAATAACTACCAATGCAACTTACACTAATGTAAAACTTCCACACATTATTGATTTGTCACTGGAAATTTTGCCAAAAATGCCATTTGAAGCTAGTCAAGCCCTTTTCTAGTCTGACTGTCTAGTCAAAAAGGACCAAAACTGCCCAAATTGTTTGCTAATTTTGTTCCTGATGTCAAATTTGACAGCTCTTGAGTTAGGGTGCACACAAATGCAGATTTTTATCCTCATATATCTTGAAGTAAGAAAGGACATACCATCAGAGCTCTTGAGGTAGTAAGGGGCACATCTCTTGTTTCTGATCAAATCAATTAATTCCTGTTAACGCCACAAGAAGAAGATAAGTATATCCAAATAGCAGCCTCATATAAATAATTAGAATATCAACAAAATGTAACTAGTAATAACCAAAGGTTACAGAGTGCAGGCAACAACGATTGAAGGTCAAAACATTTTTGCTCCAACAATGTGCTTTGTGTAAGTTTCACGCGACAGATGGTCAAAACACGCATGATCAGATTACGAGTGAGAGAAGGTCCAAACACGCGTGATCAAATTGTGTTCTAGGCATTTCGTTCATTCTCAGTGGAAGTCCAAATGAATGCTGGCTAAATACATGTAACGCCACTTTTGTCCATAAATATCCCATCAACCATTAGATTAACCAGACGATTATAGAGGGTTCATACTCTTTAATTAAGCTCTTCAAATTTTATGACTTAATTCCATGAATTTTTCCACAACGTTTCCACGTTTTCCATGGCCTTATGTTTAGCTGTTAAATTTCGAAAATTTTCAAAACCTTCCTTGTTTTAGGGTATTTTTTGACCTAACTCAGTTCAAGAGACACAAATTCTGGTGTCCAACAATATGTGTGCCATTCACGCTGTTAAATTTTTCACCTCTATCCTACATTGTCCTTGCTTTGACATCTGCAACTGGTAACTAGCCTACAGCTGTACGAAACATAACTTAAATTTTCCATGACTTTTCAGAACCAACAATAAATTCCATGACTTTCCAGGCCTGGAAAATGAAATTCTCAAATTTCATGACTTTCAAGATTTTCCATGAACTGCAAAAACCCTGTGATACAGAATCTGACCATGCACTGTTGTAAATAAACAAAACGTAAATGACATAATTACCAGTGTGGTTGGGGTACGACCAGCAAAGTTGAGATCATAATCACAGACAAGATCTGATACATTCACGTTATATCCTAATGCATTCTGGTCTGGACATTGCTTTGCACAGCGCTAAAATAATAAAACCATTTCAGTTAGTAAAAAAAAGTTGGAAACAAACAAACATATTCAAACTGAGCACTTTAAAGATATTTGCACAGGTTTATAAGCTAACTCGAGTTATTTGCAGGAAGAATATCTACACCGGCCTTTTCTCAAAAAGCTAATCAAAAGTTGAACAATATATTTTCTTAACATGCAGGTGTCCTTGAAACAAAAGGTAAAAATAGTAAAAATTTGAGCCACAACATACTTTATTTGACAAATCATAGCTTATACAAAAATACAGCATTATTTTATTGTGTTACAGCTGATCTTTTTTTCCCTGGAGCAACCCAAATTTAGTCCCAAAACTTACCCTAGCCCACACTGACCTCATGGAAAGCAAATGTTGAAAACACATCTCTAACCAGAACAGTATGTATCAGAGATTTTAAAATCTAACCTGTTTTGTTGGGCAGGATGCCCCAAATAATTTTGTTGAAACTTCTGTTACTGAAGCAATGCACTCTGTCAAGTCAAAGAACACTAGTTTGGGCAGATCTCTGTAAAAGAGCATGTTAAAGTCACAGATTAGACTGGCAGCAAGATGTCACTCTTTTCTTTCCTAGGGGATACATTTTTAAAAAGCAAAGGGAATGGTTACTAGTTTATTTAGTCGAGTTGCAGTTAATAGTTTCATGTAGCTGGCTTAAAGAACGAAAAAAAATTCACCCAAAACGTTTTTCTTGTTCACACACAAACAGTACTATACTTGAAGTGATTGACATCTTTGTGCAATATTTTCACTGCTTGACTTCGTATAAAGATGACTTGTATTGAATTAACTTTTTATCAAAATGACCGGCTACCAAGGGAAAATGCCACATACACATATGTTCACTTCACAGTGATCTGCATCAGCATGAAATAAAAACAGCAAAGCAGCTTACATGTATTTTATTTAAAAAAATATTATTATCAATTTAATTTTTAACACTTCTATAAATGCTGTACATCCTGCAAAACTGACTTTTGCTTCCACATTGTACTTGAAAAAAATATCAGCACAGCTGTGAACATACTTTTATAATAGAGATACCAATATATTTTCCTTAAATTTTGTTGGAATTCACATCTTTTGTTTCATAAATACAATTTACTTAAACACCCATTCATTTTTAAATTCAAACAAGTAAAGACATACCTGACATTTGAATCATAACCACATATATTCCCTAGAGCAAACAAGAGGATATATTTCAATATCATTGACAATTTTCACATGACATCACATTCCTGCATGGTTGGTCACTCAGAATATGAACGTGTAGCAGTTACATACATGTACCCATACAAAGCAGATTGTCACATTGCACCTTGCAGCACTGGGCCAGGTGGTTCAAAGCTGGGTTAACCCAGGGTTAGTGCAAAGATTGAATTTATATATGAAACCTTTTAAAGGCAAATTCAGTTTAATTCATGTTGTCTACAATTCAATGATTCCATGCTCTAAAAAGAATAAAAAAAATTATCCAAAAAAAAATGCATTTGAACAAACGAAAAAGAAACCAGCATTAAAATTTAACCCCAGGACCCTGGAATAAAACATAGAAGCTTAAGGATCATTTACAGTACATAAAGCCCACTCCTGAAAATTCTTAAGAAAAACACCTTTCACAGCCAGTCAAGCTGTTTCTGGCCACTGTCTAACCAAAAAGAAGCAAAACTGCACAAAATGCTGCTGTTGTTAAGCACTGAATCTTGTAATATCCTGATGCTAGATGTCAGCTTCTGAAGTTTTGACATGTGCAAAAGGCAAAAATTTTGAGATAGTTTTTGGGTTTTAAATTATAGCACTGCCTCTTGACTTTCTACTTTTCTTTCTCTATTCCCCGCTTCTTTTTCTATTTGCTGCCCCTTCTTTCTTTAATCTTTTTGCTGAACGTTAATGAGTCTTCATTTCCGTGAGACTGTTAGAGTACATGAAGGAAGTGCAGGTGGGTAGAGGAACAAGTTTTTCCTAAAAATATTAAGGTCAATTTTAAATGGTTTTTGCCTTAAATTTTTTCTTCATTTGACTGAATCATGCTCATTCTGGTATATGGTTTAAAAGATCTCTTCCCCCTACTCAAGTTGAATGTCAACGTTGTGACCATTAAGACTGATGTTGTCACAAGTGGCATGCACAAGAGACATGGATCTGCACTAGGGTGGTTGTAATATGAATAGGTTAATAATCAATACATTCAAGCTCCCTTAGTATGGACACCAACCCTGAAAAGGACAGGGAAAAGAGCTGTTCGCCTGTATGTCTTTGGGGCCAAAAGAACTGCAAGAGTCCATGACAAAGAGGTCTCCTTATTATGAAAAGGCCCGTAAGGACAGGTTTGACTATTAAAAATGACATTTTTACTATTACAGTACTCACTGTTTACAAACATCCCCCAGACATGTAAATGAATGATCTACATGTACACATTCATCTGACCAGAATATAGCATTATTCAAATATTAAACTTCATCAAGAAACACTTTACAAGCATAAGCAACCAGAGCTGACCTCAACGGGGTTCGACATCTGTTCAGCTGAGACAATTGCCACTGGGCTATGTTGTGGTTCAAATTTAATCTTTGGTTTGAATTTTTTTAAACCAGTTTGAATTTTTCAAACTAGTTAGAAATTTTTAATACTTAACTCTTTCTCAGTTATTTGTACCTCTCCTTGTAAATACGGTGTAAAATGAAGTCACATTTTAGTAAGCGCTCATTTTAGTGATTAGGGTTTAAAAGCATTTATTTCAAATGGTTAGCTTTCTTGTAAGGTTATGGCCAAAGCACAGTTTCAGTGATTACGGTTGAGCGCTCATTTCAGTGATTAGGGTAAAGCCTTTATTTCAAATGGTTAGCTTTCTTGTAAGGTTAGGGGTAGTGTTTGGCACCCAGTTTTGTGATTGGGGTTTAGCAACCTCGTTCCCAGGGTCTCTCATCTTCCCGCCCAAGCGAGAGAAGTGCAGCCTTGTTTTAGAGTCTGAAAACAATAGCTGCACTTGTAAATTACACTAAGTCTTGTAAAGTTTTATTAAATTGACCCCTGGCCTAAATTCATTTAGCCTCATATGAAACAAAATAATATCACCATTATGTTGATCTAGCCCATTATTTTGCAAGTGTATGAGCTTATCAATAACAAACTAGTTACATGTACTTACCATCAGAATCAACTGAATTAAGCAACTTGTAAGGATTGCCTTTAATGTAAGCTGTAGAAAACAAAGATAGCTGAATGATGTAAAATAAATTATATTTGGATTATTACTTGGTATAAAAGGGACAGGGGCACCCCACAAACGAATCTTTATGAACAAGTCAGAAATGTCTAATAATGGATTTCTCTATACTTTAGAAATATGTTTTATTAATTTGTAGCTGCCCTAAATGCTATCTATCTGTTTAAATGTTCTAGGGGTGCTTTGGCCATCTCGAAATTGTGAGGACATGGAGTAACCATGTACTTTCATTACAACACATCCGGGGACATTTTTTTTATACCGAAATTATTTTCAGGTGACCTTTTTTTCCAATGATTGCCAAATCTTGGGAGTAAATGAGAAAAATTGACTTTCGAAAATTGGAGGAAAGTTAGAAGAAAAACTCTGAATGGCTTAGATGAATGGATCAATTATACAGAAATTTTTTGTCTTTCTTATCTTATAGAAAATTCAAGGTAACATGTGCTCCTTCAAACAGATATTTTAAAGAAAACAGTCACTGGGTGCCCCTGAACGGACATGAGTGAAAGAAAAAACATCACCAGCCTGCAGCTAGCTGGAAAAGGACAAAAAAAGTAAAGGAGTGTAGGAATGACTTACCAAATATGCCCAGGGCTACCATCCCAACAATGTATAGGACGAAGAGAATACAACAGATAATGTCTGTGCAACTCCTAAAAAAATATGCAGAGTATAAAATTAATGTGGCTAAATATCATTTAGGCAAAGTTAAACTTGAGTGAGTTGGCCAGCGGTCTTAGCCCACTCCAGTACATGACCTACAGGGCAGCCCTCAGAGAATTGCAAGGCTCCTTGTGTGTTATTTTGCTAGTGTTGCATTGCACTGCAGCTTTACTTGCTGATCGTAGCGCATCAATTTTTGCCTTCTTGCAAATCATTGCGGATTCTTGCTCTCTCTCCTCCCTGCCTGCCTGGTGGTTTCATAAGTATTTTCTCAGGTAAGTATCACCACTGAATTTATTTAGTGCGATGGTGCCAGTTACTGGCCGCTCTTGGGGTGGTTCCCGCTTCCAGGGTTGCCATGGATACCTCCTCTCTGCTTGTTGCATTTGACCCCCCCACTAACCCTTTAAGGCACCTGCTCCCAAGCTCATCATTAGCAATGAGTTTAAACATATGTTAACCCAGTGAGCAAACTTTTGACTCACAGGTAAAGGGTGAGAAAAGGAAAGAGTGTAAGAGCTATCACACACCTCAGAAATTTAAATATAATGAAAGCAAAAAATAATTTTAAAAAGTGCAATATTATCCTCTCCGATCCCCTTATGGGACTTTTCAGGGATAAGGAAACAAATAATTTAAATGGAACATAACATGGTTAAAAATCCCAACTGGTAGGAGGAGAACCAGTCGACTATTTTACAAGTGTGGCCGAGGATTTGAACTCAGAACTACCGAGAACAGTGCTCTGACTGCTTGGCCATGCTCCCTCCAAAATATATCTGCAAAGCTGATTGCTGAAGACTACATTGTTTGCGGGAGTATATTATACATTGGTAAAACCCAACTAGTGGTCTACTATCAATGCTGCACTCTGATTGGTTGTTCTACTACTAGGCTAGATGTTAGAGCCTCACACTAGCAAAGTGTACCAAAGCATTGAACATTTATATCCTCAGTCTAAATAAATCTGTTACAAAGATCAGCTAGGTTATCTGATTATAGAGCAATGGAGCAATAAACTAACAATAAACACAAAGCATTAAATCATTGTTGACCAAAGGCACAATAAATACGAAAAAACAGAGTCAAAATGGATGTTTTTTAAACAATGCATGCTGTGTTTATAAAAAGCTAAATATTGTTCTCTGAGATTACAAAATCACAACTGTACAGACATTAAAGATCACAATGACATGGAAAATGACCATTGTTTTTACTGTTTTTGGAGCAGACATGTCTTACTACGCGGACCTAAACTTTAGAACACAAACTGTACCGACACGTTTTTATAGGCTGCAATAACGAGACATTATCATCAGACATCAGGATGCTTCCGAGCAAATAATAACAATAGCGAAAGGTTTTTCAAATTCATTCCCCCCGGTGGAAAGTGTTTCATTTCATCAATCCTGTCCAGGTCTTGACGGTATGTGTTCCATCAACAATGCAAGCTGCCAATTTCTTTAATGAACAAAGAATTGAACAATCATTATTGGTAGAGCGTTGCACTGGTATAACTCCTGCAAATTTGCATATATAACTGTGATGATCTTCCTTCATATAATTAATCTTTCCTCTGATCTTCACTTCAACGATTCAAAACATCTTTTGTCTGTCACCACTTCTGCTAATGCGTATTTGATGTCAAATCGTTCCTTTGTGAGTACCATTTGAACATTCTTTTAGATTACAGCCACATAGTCCCAATGAAGTGACCTCCAAGAACTGAACTTTGATTATACCATTTAGTGGAGAAATAAAAGACCTTCAGAGGCGTTTTCTAGAGCGGGGTATAATATTTCGAATGCACGAAAGCTCCAGTTTTGTAAGCAGCCATTTGAAATTATTCAAGGACAGATTGCTTTTAAAAATACTGTTCAATGCGTTAACAAGCAAACTGTTGTACTCTTTTGCACCCTAGAACGGAGTATAAAAAATTGGCCCATTTCTAGAACAGGGTATCAGTTTTAGGGCGAATTCTAGGACGGGGTATCAATTTTAGGGGAAATTTTTTTTGGAACGGGGTGCCAATTTGGAGTCCCGGGCGGCACATACCCACCCAAAAAATACCCAAGTGCCCCCGGGACCTTCACTGCCTTATCCGTCCATGTACTACATGTGTACAAGCAATCTCGTGTTTTCTTTGATTGACAGTATTCTCACCTAATGTGAACACTTATCCTCTTGGGAGCCTCTTAACCAATAGGAACCTTCCGCATTCTCAGAAAGCACGTAAAAATGACTTTCATGAGCCTCTCGGGCAGACACTCCCTCTCCCCTTGCGTGTCTTCCTCACGCATCCCGGTCTTTCTTACCCCCATTACTACCAAGTGCCTGCTACGCAGGCTAAACCAGCCTAAGAAGCAGTCTACCCATAACTACAGCTATGGTTAAGTGTAACACCAGAAATGGTGTATTGTGAGGTCTCTATTGGTGTATTGTGAGATCTCTATTGTCAGGATGCTATTGACACTGTAGAAATACCTTTCTTAGTTTTCCCTAAGTAGCCTGGCTAATACTAAATAAAATAAGACTAATTATAACAACAATTAGACTAATATTAAATACAAATAAATAAGTGATGTAACGACTCAGTTTTTACAGAAAATCATTTTTATATTAACCAAGCACTTTACCTGTTTTTTATTGGACCATTAAATGTAGGATCGAATGGTTTAGGTTTTCCTACAACAGATGCAAACAAGACAGTTACGTTACTAGACATGCTACATGTAAAAAAGTTGTCATACATTTAAATCAAAACTCTAATCATATCTTTTTACACAAAATGTTTGTAAATTTGCACATTGCTGATATTTTACCTTCACTTAAAATCGCTCTCAAAACAGGAATCGCTACATAAATCACGATATTAAACGCGTCTTTTCGATGGGTTGTTTGCTCCCACTCACCAATATGGCGTAAGTGAAAGTTATCTTATCAACAAATACTGCTAACAAGGAAGTTTTCTAGAGGGCTTGCACCAAGGCTAGTGCGATTCACTCATTCACTGCAAACAAACAAGGCGTAACACAAACAAGATGACGCAAAGAGGGAAACACAGGCGCTTTACAGAATATTTCGTGGGTAAAAAATTAAGTTAAGAAGCAAAGCGTCACAGCATTTTTCACTTTTATTTGCTTAACGTACAAAAGGTTTCCATGATCTGAGCTTAAGTATATTTTTCGTCGAAAAATAGCGGTGAAAGAACTTTTGCAGACCTAAGTTGAAATATGTAAATAAGACCGAAGCCCCTAAAACAGATTCACACAGATTTCTCCATGCTACTTATGAACCTTCAAATCACAAGCATGAACAAACAGCTTACCCCACTTTCCACCACCATTTTTCCCTCCTTTTGCTCCATCCATCTCCATATTATCGCTTCTTCCACCATCGTCGCTGTTTTTTCCGCAACAACCCATCACTGGTTTAAACTAACCTGTACCTAAAGTACAGGAGCGTCCTCCTTTAATATTTACGAACAACTACAAAGGAGGAAAATGCAGTTCATTAACCCTTGTCATAAAATTCGGCATGTATCATGCACCGACCGAAGACCTCATAACTAGAAAAAGCTCACGTAAATTTTCCTTCCGCTCGTCCCATTGGTCGATACGTGTCACATGCTCTAGTCTGTGTCTTTTGTTGGGACAGAGGTGTTTATCGATGATGCGTTGGGTCGCCAGTGGTAACATGCTTGGATGACGAACACTTCATGGTTTTATGAGCAAGAATAATCGTTACAAATATTATTGACCATTATTGCATCATTATTCACCACCAAAAAGGCTCTTCACATCCAAGACAACTTAACAAAAAAATGCCGCCTACCCACGCAGTTTGGTTATTTTTTTAAACGGTAGTTAATCTTGTTACTATAGGTATATGGAACAGGGTCCTTATTTTTTTGTCTGGAGGGCGCAAAATATAATAAAATCTAACGCCCAAAGCATATTCGTGTTTACACAGAATACACGCAGCAAGAGAAGATTAAATTTGTTGCGGTTCTTCTCAGGTGATATAAACATGATAAACCCAAACCATTCGAGGAAAAAAGTGGTTCAGTTACAACCCCGGCCAGCCCAAGCTCACATCAGAAAAAGGCACAAATCAGGATACCACAGGAAATTTTATTTTATTTCTTTTCTCAGCAATAAGTTAACGTTTAGGCTTTTAAGTTTATCCCCTTCGTTCCATTTACTCTAATCATTTAAGTGAAAAACTATAGTAATTTTCCAGGGTCTAAATAAAATTAAGGAAACTGTTTCTGAAAGTGAAATTCGCACTGCAGCTGGAAAACTCAAAAACAACAAATCTTCTTTTTCAGACAAAATCAAAAACTACTTTCTTTGGTTGGCTAATTTGCGCCAGCGCTGATTAGCTCTGATCATAAGGCATTTCTTTAAAGGAAGGGGGGTGAGGGAGAAAGGAGAGGCAAGAACGGTATCAAAGGGAAACACCCTTCTCCGCTTTGTCGTTTGAAATCCCCTCCCCCCCCCCCCGCCTAGTCTTTAACGAGGGCCTGATACTCTGGTCACGTTGTCAATTTTATATTCGAAGCGATCGCCAAACTGCAGTTTTTTTTTTCTTTTCATAATGTGCTCCTGGAATCACTTAGCGACAACCTGGATTACAGCCGGATTTTCAGACGATCTGTGACACAAGTTAGGTTGTGGTGAGGAAATGAAAAGAAAGCAATAAATGACGACTTCTTTACATTATCTGCCTTTTTATATTTGAATGACATATTTTCGAGATCCAATAAATCTTGACCACCCGTCAAACTAGCCTCATTTTGGGGTTCAAATACAAGTAGACACATTGAATTCTGCAAAGCTGAACCTACTACATGAAAATTAACTTTATAAGACATTTCCAACACGACACCCGAAAGAACCCAAAACAGAGCGGGGTTCAATAATTATGTTACAGTTCGTTTGGGGATTGTATACCATGATGCTTCAAATAATGGGCTTGTTGCTATCAAAATGACTATACATAGGGAGTCTAATTCATGCCTGAGTAGTCCATGATTATTGTTTGATATTCTCCCTGGCCCATGTTCATTGTTCAGATGATTGCTTGTGTGATAGTCTCTGCATTTGCTGTTGTAATTCATGATTTACATGTAATTCAAGAAAATTATTTTTCGTCATATGAAAGTGATTACGGAGGGAGGTAAATTCGACAACATGTTAACCTGAGATCAGGCCCAATTTTAGCGGTTCTCATACATTCTCTCTAATGGCTGTTTCGCCTTGCCCGCCGGAATGTAATTTTCAAAGCGAAACGAAAATAGAGCCTGATCTCAGGTTAACAACATGTTCAAAAACTTTGGCGTGCGACTGCTCACATACTTTTAGATATGAGAGGGGAATACTGCGGACACTTTTTCAAGAAGGATCAGCCTGCAATAAAAGACTAGACAGAGGGGCAGAACAGTTGTGAAAAACAAAAGCCAAACCAGTTAAACTCGAGGCAAAATTGTACATTTAAACCCCATTTACACGCGCTTAAAAATCGGGCACGGCACTCCCAATTTTCGACGTGTAAACGTATCGGTCCCAAAAATAATATGCCACCAGTGCTCAAAATTTTAGGAGTGCCGAGACTACCTCCCGGGTAAACGAAGCACGGTGCCAAAAATTTGGCGTGCCGTGCGGATTTTTTTTGTGCCTGTAAATGGGGTTTCAGAGCAATGCTTTTGTCGCAAAACAAGGAAGTAGTTAAAATGACGAATAACTCTTTCCATTCATTTTAACAGGCATGCAAAGCCATTGTGAAGAGCAAAATAATTCACCAGCAAGAAAGCCTTAAAAATAACAATAAAATGTCCTGCCACCGTCCTTAACAGGGATATCAGGGCAGCCAACTCAGTTGTCTCGTTGATTATTTCAGTATATACCAAACCGGTGGTAAGTTCCATTTTTGCATAGCAGTCAGTTAATTGGGACTTCATTCACATTTTCTTTGTTTTGAACTAGTTATCATGATAAATAGTAGAACAGGTCAATGAAGTGGAACAGAAGGTCAAATTATTAAGAATAATAACCTACTGTTCCAAAAAGCTTCCAAGTCAGTGGAAAAAGTAATGACTTGCTAATTTTAAAACTAGCTCTCCCCCCTTGGGCGCAGCACTTAGTCCCCAGGGCTCTCCCCCCTTGGGCGCAGCACTTAGTCCCCAGGGCTCTCCCCCCTTGGGCGCAGCACTTAGTCCCCAGGGCTCTCCCCCCCCTTAGTCCCCAGGGCTCTCCCCCCTTTGGGCGGAGCACTTAGTCCCCAGGGCTCTCCCCCCTTTGGGCGGAGCACTTAGTCCCCAGGGCTCTCCCCCCTTTGGGCGGAGCACTTAGTCCCCAGGGCTCTCCCCCCTTTGGGCGGAGCACTTAGTCCCCAGGGCTCTCCCCCCTTTGGGCGGAGCACTTAGTCCCCAGGGCTCTCCCCCCTTTGGGCGGAGCACTTAGTCCCCAGGGCTCTCCCCCTTGGGGGCTTAGTCCCCAGGGCACTTAGTCCCCAGGCTAGTCCCCAGGGCTCTCCCCCTTTGGGCGGAGCACTTAGTCCCCAGGGCTCTCCCCTTTGGGCGGAGCACTTAGTCCCCAGGGCTCTCCCCTTTGGGCGGAGCACTTAGTCCCCAGGGCTCTCCCCTTTGGGCGCAGCACTTAGTCCCCAGGGCTCTCCCCCTTTGGGCGGAGCACTTAGTCCCCAGGGCTCTCCCCCTTTGGGCGGAGCACTTAGTCCCCAGGGCTCTCTCCCCTTTGGGCGGAGCACTTAGTCCCCAGGGCTCTCCCCCCCCTTAGTCCCCAGGGCTCTCCCCCCTTCCCCGCAGCACTTAGTCCCCAGGGCTCTCCCCTTTGGGCGCAGCACTTAGTCCCCAGGGCTCTCCCCCTCTTGGGCGGAGCACTTAGTCCCCAGGGCTCTCTCCCCTTGGGCGCAGCACTTAGTCCCCAGGGCTCTCCCCCTGGGGAGCACTTAGTCCCCAGGGCTCTCCCCTTTGGGCGGAGCACTTAGTCCCCAGGGCACTTAGTCCCCCCTTTGGCGCAGCACTTAGTCCCCAGGGCTCTCCCCCTTTGGGCGGAGCACTTAGTCCCCAGGGCTCTCCCCCTTTGGGCGGAGCACTTAGTCCCCAGGGCTCTCCCCCTTTGGGCGCAGCACTTAGTCCCCAGGGCTTAGTCCCCAGGGCCCTTTGGGCGGAGCACTTAGTCCCCAGGGCTCTCCCCCTTTGGGCGGAGCACTTAGTCCCCAGGGCTCTCCCCCTTTGGGCGGAGCACTTAGTCCCCAGGGCTCTCCCCTTTGGGCGCAGCACTTAGTCCCCAGGGCTCTCCCCCCGCAGCACTTAGTCCCCAGGGCTCTCCCCTTGGGCGCAGCACTTAGTCCCCAGGGCTCCCCCCCCACTTAGTCCCCAGGGCTCTCCCCTTGGGCGCAGCACTTAGTCCCCAGGGCTCCCCCCCCCCAGCACTTAGTCCCCAGGGCTCTCTCCCCCTTGGGCGCAGCACTTAGTCCCCCTTTGGGCAGCACTTAGTCCCCAGGGCTCTCCCCTTGGGCGCAGCACTTAGTCCCCAGGGCTCTCCCCCTTGGGCGCAGCACTTAGTCCCCAGGGCTCTCCCCCCTTGGGCGCAGCACTTAGTCCCCAGGGCTCTCCCCCCTTGGGCGCAGCACTTAGTCCCCAGGGCTCTCCCCCCTTGGGCGCAGCACTTAGTCCCCAGGGCTCTCCCCCCTTGGGCGCAGCACTTAGTCCCCAGGGCTCTCCCCCCTTGGGCGCAGCACTTAGTCCCCAGGGCTCTCCCCCCTTGGGCGCAGCACTTAGTCCCCAGGGCTAAGGATAATAAAAATAGACTTACCTTGCTACTTACCCTTTTTTACCTACTTTGCGTCTTTGTTATGTTCTGTTGGATAGTATGTCTCTGATCTTATTTCTATTCCTTTTTTTTGTAACACTCTTGGTTTCTTACGTTATAATGTTTCTTTTTTTTTCTTTTCTTTGTTGTTGGCTTACGCTGAGGAATTTAGCTCTCAGGTAAGGTTTCGTTTTATGTACGAAACCGAACTTTCTTTTCTGAATTCAAAAGCGTAAACTTCTTTTAGATTCGGATATTTTTGTTTGTGCCGACCGAAGAGGTTTAATTTATAACTAATCAGAAGGTGCAATCGTCTTGGTGTATATACCAAACCAGAATTTTCAGAGAGACCAAAAACTTGACGTCAAAATTATTGGAAAGAAAGATGCAACATGAAAAGAAATATAGCTTAATCGCTGAGCCTCGAGGACTTATTAAGAATAATGACCGAGCGCGTACTTTTCCGTAGTTTTAGAAAAATCACTGAACTGAAACAGTAGGTTAGTATTTCTAATAATGATCTTCTGTTTCACCTCAACGACCTGTTCTCAAGATTTATCTAAAATAATAATCGGTTTAAAACAATGGAAAATTGCATGAAGACCCTGTGTTTTGCAAAAAATGAACTTACCATAGGTTTGGTATATACTGAATAAATGACTGACACACAAATGAGTTGACTGCATATCCTTGTTAAGGACCGTGGCAGTACTTTTATTGTTATTTTGAAGACT